CCGGCCTGCCCCAGCTCATCCAGTTCTTTCCACTGCTGTCCGCCCTTGCTATGCGCAGACCCGAGAGAGACGAGCTGCATCGTGTAGAGATCTTGACGCAGGGACTTTTCCGACTCTTTGACGCGTTTCGCCAGCGGGACGTATAGTGCCTTCCACTGCTTTTTGATGTTGATGAGCGTTACGTTAGGGACGTCGTCCGGCAAGAAGCTGACGGAGATGGTCGGCGTCGCTCCGTTGTCACTTGTCAGGCTCGCACGGGCGACTTGGGCTTGCAGTATGAACTGGGCCTGCAGCTTCGATATGCCAGCCGCATTCAACGTCGGCGGCTCGCCCATGATCTTTTCGTGCGTATTCATGAAGTCGTCCAGGCTCCAGCTCTTGGCAAAACGAGAGAGTGCCGCAACGATCTCTGGTTCTATTTGGTGTTTGACATCTACGTCGCCTACATCCCGACTACGTCGAACCTGGCCGATGACGGCGCTGATCCGATGCTCGGCAGTTGTGATCTCTTCGGGGCTCGGAGAACTCGCCGTCGGCGGTCTGTCGTCCCACAGACGGATCATTTCTGCCTTGGATCGCGCTGCTAGCATGCCCTGATAGAGTTGTTTCTCATCCGCCGCGTATGGGTCATCATCGGTATCAGACAAGTAATCCAGACACTTGACCAAAACCTGAAGCTTATGGATGTATGCGAGCTGTTGCAGGTGGCTCAGCAGCCTGATCTGGGCAAGCGTTTGCGACCTATCTAGCAAGCTGTTATTGATGACATGAACAACGAACAGGAAGCTGCGGGACTTTGCGCCTCGCACAGTCCAAGGCCGGAGCAGGCGACACGCTTCGTTATGCTCATTATATGAGTATCGAGGCGGACGAGTTACGGTCAGTGGATAGTGCGTGGGCAGGGTCTGGTCTACGTCTGTTTGTAAGCTATTGAGAGGTCTCGATGGATTACAGCCCATTGTTACGGCGAGACGAACACGAGAGTTCCTACGTCGGCCTGATGGCAGACAGGCATTGGCGCGATGTCTTTTCATACTTGTACCGCTTTGCGCAAGATCCAGAAGTGGTGACATGGGGCCGGTACATGGCTGCCGAGTTCAGCGTCCTAGGCGATTGACTTCGCTGCTCGATGTTTAGGCCGTATACGGATTCGAAAGAGTCCAAACCATCCCCGTGGCGCAAAGAGCCACATTTTGCAGTGTTGCGTTGTACTTCGTCGAACCCACATCAGTTACACCACGAAGGGGGTCGATTTGGGCAACGACACCCAGAACTGCCCGTGATCGCATGTGCAACGACACCAAGACCTACATCCAGTCCACAAGACGTTTCATGGGCTCCACGAAGTCTACAGCATACAGCCTTTGTCAAAGATCATTTAAGGTCTCCTCCCCAGACCGCCCTATCCGTAGACTTCCCGGTATCAGAGACGGAGTAACAACCACTGAGCTACCGTCCTTGCTCTTGCCATCCGTCAGCCAAAGCCTTCCCGTCGACTATCCGCTACCCACCAAGGGCTCACGCAGCCAGCGCAAGCAGCTGAACTCCGCCATGTGGAATGGTACCACCTTCACGACCATCTTTATGTGGGGTCCGCTCTTGTATGCTGCCACGCTCCTCCTTCACCAGTATCTCCGACTACGGCACATCCCCGGCCCTCCCTCTGCTGGATTCTCCCCTTGGTGGCTTCTACGTGCCGTGTATAGCGGTAGCATGCACCTCAAGTTCTACGAGGCCGGCCAGAAATATGGTGCTTACTACTGTTTCCAATGTCGTTCACGACGCTCGCTAACTCCTCTCACAGGATCTCTTGTTCGCGTCGGTCCAAACGACCTTGTGACGAGCGACCCGGACCTCATGAAGCGTATGCTCGGCGTGCGCACCAAGTACACGCGTTCAGACTGGTACAACGCGATGCGACTGGATCCGAGAAACGACAACGTGCTGTCCACCAGAGACGATGCAGTGCACACCAGACTCCGGTCTCAGATGGCCGGAGGGGTAGGTCATCTTCTCTCGTGTGCCACAGGTCGATTCGTATGGACTGCTGACGATCGCGACAAAGTATTCTGGCAAAGAAGTAGTCGAACTTGAAGCCAAGATCGACGAAAGCGTCCTTCGACTCATGTCAATGATCGATACGTATGCTTCTCAAGATAAAAGGTTCGACTTCGGCCTGAAGGCGCAGTACTTCACGCTCGACGTCATTTCAGATCTCGCATTCGGCAAGCCGTTCGGCGATCTGGCTTCCGATTCGGACGTTTATGACTACATTCACACGACGGAACAAAGCATGCCGAACATCGTCGTCGCGGCCGTTCTGCCCTCTCTACTCCATGTGTTATCGTGGCCTCTGCTTCGGCGGCTGATGCCTTCGGAAAATGATGCCACCGGGTTCGGAAGGCTGATTCGGTACGTCTTGTTCGCGTCCCATGTCGGACCTGGTCTGCGCTTGGCCGCTGAATCGTCGACTTGTGCGGTCTTTGTTGCGTTCCCGCAAGTCCGGCATAGCTGACACATCGACAGGATGGCGAAGGAAATCGCCGGCGAGCGCTTCGGGCCAAGCAAGAAGACGAGGCAAGACATGCTTGGCTCTTTCGTAGCACACGGCCTGACGCAAAAAGAGGCGTCTTCGGAAATCCTCATGCAAATGTACGACTTGCCGAGATCTCTTCGGTCCTATACTCTGAGGCCACTACTAACCCTTCCGACAGACTCGCTGGATCGGACACGACGGCCACGGCCATCCGAGCTACGCTGCTTCACCTAATCACCAACCCACGAGTGCTCGCGACACTTCGTGCAGAGATCGAGCGCTTCCGGCCGTCTTGGCCTGTCGTAAAAGAAGCGGAGGCGCGACAGATGACTTACCTGCAGGCTGTCATCAAAGAAGGCTTGCGTATCTTCCCTCCGGTTGTCGGACAGATGTCGAAGGAAGTCCCCAAAGGCGGCGACACCTTTAAAGGCGTGTACTTACCGGAGGGAACGCGCATCGGTTACGGAGCGTGGGGTATTTTCCGCCGAGGCGACGTTTGGGGACAGGATGCCGACGACTTCCGACCGGATCGATGGCTCACGGCGGATGCGGAGACCCTGCGATCGATGGAGGCAACGCTCGAGCTTGTGTTTGGCCACGGCAAATGGAAGTGTTTAGGACGGAATGTGGCGATGATGGAGTTGCAGAAGATATTTGTTGAGGTACGTTGCTGCGGCGTGTCCGGCGTGTGGTTCTGCTCTTGCGAAGACGACGCACTGACACTTCAGTCAGCTGCTGCGGAGATTTGACTTGGTGTTGTGTGACCCTACAAGGCCGTGGAAGTCACTCAACTATGGAATCTTTCTGCAATCCCAGTATTGGTTGAGGGCATACAAGCCCCGGCAGAAGCGTCCGGCCAAGATAGATCACAAAAAGCGAGGGTGCGCTGCCTGCCGTCGCCGCTGCAGGTTTGTAAGTGGATAGCGCTGGCTGAACGGGCGACCAAAGGTTTGTTGGCGCCGGGGTCGTCTAGTACCGGGAGAAGGTCGCGGGGACACTAATACTGGCCGCCTGTCCGTGGCGTCGGCCCAGACTGGGTGACGGCACTACTCGAAGCACAGTGGCTGACTCACATCAGCCGCCTTTTTTTTTTCTTCTCTCTTTTTTCTCCAGTCCACTAGATTGAGGGTGTAGAACCTAATAGAAACGCTCAATTCCTCTCCCGCCTCCTGTCCTCCGCTCTCTTCCGCCTCTTGTCTCTCCGCCTCTTGTCTCTTCGCCCTCAAGCGTCGCATCAGGTTCAACAGCAGAGGCTGTCTGATTGCAGTCGAGAAATGCGATGTACACATGGGCATCGCTGATGTAGTCGAAGCACACGACTCGAAAGGGTCGCTCAGCGTCAAGAAAGATCACCGCATTTTTTGGCCCTCCTCATGAATGTTAAGCAGCATAGGAGAGAAGCGGTCATGCAAATTTTGGCTCGAATGACTGGTCAGTTACCAAGTCACACGGAACATCGCACGCGTGTCTTTTCCATTCAAGGAGACACGGCAACAGCAACGGGCGACGGTGAAGCTGCAAGGGAAAATATTTTGGTTAAAGTGCGCCGATCTCGACCACGGCCTACTGTACACTGTAGCCCACTCCAAGAGCCTCCACTTTATCCGCCGGCGTGTTAAGCTCGTCCGGAGGGTCTGCATCAGTGCGACGCACCGGACAAATCGGCCGTTCCTGCAAGGCATACTGTAGCACGCGTTGTCTCGTGCCTGCCGCCCTCATTCCGGTTTAGTCGACGCTGAAGTCCCTTGTGTGGGGAAACGGTCCGCTCATGGAATTCTCTACAAATCCAAACCATGACGAAATGGGAGTTCCTACTTTACAAGCTCACCGATGCTGCCTAGAGCGTCGACTGTGAGCTACGTGGCCTGTGTTCCCTCATCGTTTGTCAGCAACCAGAAATTCACGAACAAAAGTGGGAATGTGTCACTTCGCCACACGTGGCGCTGCCCATTCCTGTCGTACGATACCGCCTACCATAAGACCTGCCCGTCTCGTACGGTATCTAGATACGACTCCTTGTCTCCCACTAAGAAAAAACAAGCCACTTTCTACCGTGTATATCTTCCACTTACTTGCTCGCTTTGCGACCCGCTCTGCGACAGAATAGGACGTTAGGGGCGAAAAGCCAGGAATCGATCCTAGGTGCGATTGTACTGTTGCCCCTGCCATTCTGCGTTTTGGGTCGGATCGACGTTGGACAAGTGGAGATTCGTAAGGTCTAGTCTCGCATCCAGGCTGGCTTCGGGAGCAACAAACGGATTCAAAGGCCTAGGCCGATCTGATGGGTGGCTGATTGGTCCGTGCAGTCGGAGCCAGGTCGGGACTTGCGCACATGTGGTCCGTGGACGGGGAAGGGGCCTCGACTGGCTGGCCACAACGACTTTGCAGGGCCATCGGATCTGTGTGACCCCTAAAGCCGAAAGCGCTCTTGAACTTGACGATCACGTGCTCCGCCTCCTTCACCTCACGTCACTGTCCCTGAGACACCATGAAGCTCTACAATGTGTTGTTGGCATTCCAGGTTCGCAACTGCGAGTTCCGGTCCGCTTGAACCAATGACTGGTGGCGAGAAACGAAGTCGACGTCTACCAGCAGGCAACCTATTGCGAGTGAATTGTAGCACCGTCGAGCAACAAACCTTCTCTCCGAGTCCAAGATGCAGCCGATCACACCTCAGCGGCCCGGCAAGACACCGCCAGCGTGCAAGACCGAGGCCCGAGATGATGATGCAGGCGCCAAAGTTGAACGTTCGGGCGCTGTCAGAACGACTTTGCGCCCACCTAGCTCGCCTTATATCGACTCGGCACAGCCCCGACTCAAATTGCAGGCCGTGGCCTGGTATAATCGCATCTATCAGAGCATTCTTCCGAGGGTCCGACGAAGATCAAGTCAAAAGTAACCCAAACGACGGTCACGAGGACCCAATTACCGTGACGCCATGCGTCCAGCGAATTGTCGCGCGCTCTGATCGGGGTGCCCAGTCTGCACGCGACAACGCAGCAGCGGACGTGGACAGCACAGTGGACGATGCGACAGTTGGTGCTCCATTGCCACATTCTGGCGCGACGTCAACCTCTGGAAGGCTGACGGAGAACCACGGTTTGCGTAGAACGAGCACGCTTACGAGGGGTAATGTGCCAGGTCGTCTTCCTCCCCAGCGATTTTCGCCCCTACTAATTGTGACACAGCCGTAGTCATAGAAGCCCCTGGCGATCAAGCGGATGATATCAGCTCTCCGCCGACAGAAGCAGCCAGAAGCAAACATGTAGTGGGCGCAGACAGCGAAGATGCGTCTATTGACGCACACGACCTCCTCATCTTCGACAAGATTGTTGGTCATCGTCGAGACCCCCAGACCCAGATGATATCTCACATGCGCGTGCGCTGGAGAAACGGCGCTCTGACATGGGAACCGAAAGCGAGTATACAAAAATGTGCTGGTGAACATCTGCTGTCCTACTGGGACTGTGTGAATGGCACACGGGAGGGCGCCATGGCGGAGAGCTCGCGGCGCATTCCAGAGATTGAGAAGCACATGACAACGACCGCAAGCATCGTGACCCTGGATTTGTGTTGGGTCGCGTCACAGGAGCGGCCACGGGAGCCTGAAAGTGATGTGCCATACAGCGAGCGGGCAACTTTAGGAAGTTCTGCGGTTGGCGAGGGTGGACGCGAAAGGGCAACGATACCGGTCGTTCGGCGGTCGAAGAGGCATAGTCGACAAAGCTTGAATGCGATAGCGGGTCCGGATACGGTAGCCACCGCACAGACGAACGCAGTAGGACCAGCCCGACGACAGGTACGGAAGAAGGACAGCCATGGTCAGCGGAGAGCTGATGGGTCGGCAGACAAGTTGGCGCCGGCAGTTGCAAGGTCGAACAGGAGGCTTTCGACGACCGAGCTGATGGCACACAAAAGCCGGCGGCCAGCGGACGACGCTACTAAGCCGTCAAGAAAGCGAGTTCGTTTAGTATGACGCTGAACATTCCGTCCTGCCAAACGCCAGCTGATGGAACCTGATGACTGACTTGACGTGAGTTCACGTGCGACAGAAGCAAGGCTGATGCCCCGTCGTAAAGCAATGCCGATTTTGTTCCACATCTTGTAGATTATGTAGAGTGCGATCACCCACTGTATCAAATCTATAATATAGTTTATCAGTCCATGTTGTCATATCTAAATATGACGGGAAAGACCTGACGCCATTTTCTCCTTCTTTTCACCCCCGTCAAAGTGCTATCGCTCACGAACTCGATTCTGATTGCACCGCAAAACCCTTGGGTAACGACCTCACTACCAAACTACATCTTGCTGTCTTTGGCCTTGAGAGCCATGATGGCTCTTGGGCGCCAAAATCAAATCGAAATATGGGCTTATAGGAAAAACGTTCCCCTTTCGAATGTCGTTGATGTCACGGTCAGACATTCGTGCCAATATTGCGGACTCCCGAGGCATTGAAGCCAAGAAGTTGACCTCCGTCTGGCCCTTCGCCGCATGCGAGTTGCAGTGCTTGTAAAGGAGGCGAAACAGTTCGAATGTGTTTTCGCGACGTGAAAGCAACGTCACGAGCTCCTGGTGCGTCCGGAACGTTGTATCCCGTATGATACCTTCAAGGGAGCGTGGCTGTAACTTTGCCCCGCACTTCAGGAGCAATGCTACCGTCTTGCGCGCCGAGTGGTTTTCCAATAACAACCAACTTAAGGCCGTGTGACCGTACTTATCCTGGATGTTCACATCGGCGCCTCGAATGGCAAGCAGACGTTTTGTCGCCGAATGCGATGTTAATGCCATCTCAAGAAGGAGCGGCCGTTTATCAACATCAACGTCTGTTGCCCGCACCATGCCGTTCGGATTGGCCCCATGTCGAATCAGCCTCCGAATCAAGACGGCTCTGTCAGAGCTGGACCTCCCCGGAAGAGACGCCGTGAGAGCCAGAAGAGCCAAACGAAGGAGATGTTGCAGGTCATGTCTTACTTTATGTTCAAGGAAACATGTGGCAAGGCGAAACAGGCCCTTTCGGCAACAGTGTTCCAAGAGGAGCTCCGGCTGGTTTTCGGGGACTGTCTTCCCATCGACATCGGTCTGTTGTTGAAGGAGTAGTTGGATGGTTGAACTACGTGTAAGCGGGCACTGTACCGCGTAGAACAGCGGGGTGCGGCCACGCACGTCTTTCGAGACCACCTCCGCTGGAGTTTCCTTGAGGATCTGCTTGACGACAGCGTCCAGACCGGTGGCGGAGGCAATATGAAGAGGCATAAGTTGGCTACTTGATGACGGCTGATCTCTTGTCAACTTTCCCAGATATGTCGTGATATCTGGAGCAAGCAACTTGTCCAAGTGCCATTCCGTTGCACTCGTCATGCTCAGAAGAGACGCGACGAGTTTCTCTCGCCGCTTGAGAACGGCGGCGGCAAATGGAGACAGAATAGCAGGAGACTGATGCAGAATCCGTCGAAAATTTGATGCAAACCGCCATGAGAACATGTCGGTCACCGCGATGTCGAACTGCGGGGCCCAAACATCCATCCCGGCATACACCGATGCCTCGACTACGCGAAATGCCACGGCGTCATCACAGCAGTGGAGAACTGCCCATCGAGCAGCAGAACAGCGTTCTGAGAGAACATTGTGCCGATAAATCCGTGGTTCGAAGGCTTGCCGAAACTTCTGGGAGCACTGCAAGACGCGTATCCGAGTTGGACGGTCACAATCGTCAAAGATGATGTCAACAAGCTCGGGGGGTAGTCTGTCCAGCATGGTCGTGTGACTCTGGTATGATGTCTAAGGAGAAAGCGAGAGAAGGTATGATGCCGAGACCTCGAGAGGACTCTGGGTGCAGCTGGTCGGGTCCTACTTATACAGGTCGATCGCTCTACAACACACGTGATAAGTCGGGACCGCCGAGCCATAGCAAGACAATACAATGCAGGTCCACTCCGTGTTCAGTTGCGAGATGGAACTATTAGAGACCTCAAACCAAGGCCATCGAAAATTAGCAACATCTTGTGTCTACGGTACCTACAAGGCCCAATGCTAGCACATTCGCTGGGTACATTCTCTTCGCCTTGTGCCCGGACGACGCTATACACTCAACAGACTAAATCTTGCCCCTATATCCCTCTAGCACTTTCCACTCGCGTCCCCATTTGGTCGTGCGATCGCACGACAAAGATCCTCGCTCTCAATAACTCAACAGAGTGTGGGTCTTGTGTACAAGTAACTAAAAGTTGACAAGATTGGTCATGTCTCCTAGATCCACACCGTCCGCGTCCAAGTGTTCTGGCGTAGGAAACGCCTGAAACGACTCGATTAATTTGTAGAAGCTCTCCACTTTGACGCCCAACCTCTCAACGCTTTACGCATGCCAGACATCAGCACGCACCGCCAATAGTATCCGGTCTCAAATGAACTCACCGCTCTGTGAGGACTCCTAAGGTTGACTCGAATGATTTGTAGAAAGCCTCATCTCTGGCAGACAAACGATCAAGTCTGGAATCGCGCGATATATCAGCATACATTGCCAGTGACCATGTCCTAGCGATTGGACATACCGATCCGTGGTGTCGGAGAGAAACTGCTGCAGGGTACTGAAGTTTTCGGAAAGGTAGGCACTATGCAGGCGTTAGGTGATGCCGGGCAGTTCTCACACGAGAGAGCTCTTGGTAACGGACATACTCCAGCTCAACGTTCTGTTCTTGCATGGGTGAGGTGTTCTGGGGGTTCTCTTGGGGTCTTGTTCTATGAATGAATAGTTAGCATGATAGGTTACATGGAGCATTTGGGAACGATCCCATTCTCTTACGTTGAAGAATCCTGATGCAAATGAGGTCTGACTGAGCCGCCTTGGAGGCCGTCTCTACCCTGGACCGCGGCCGTCGTCGGAGGCTGTCTTGGCATCCTCACCTCCCCGACGGCAGCCTGCTGATGGCTATCGTGGCCGCCATTGCCACCATTTTGAACCGCACGCGGGTTACGGTTCAGGAAGAAAAACCGACGCTGCTGTGCTAAACGGAGTCCTCTTGACGGAGGCCCATTCGATGGTTGTTGATACATCGTCGACGCCGAACGCGGTATGAGGGCAGTGAAGGAGGACGGACAGACCAGAAACGAAAAGCAGCGCGGCTATGATGGGGAGCTCATTCTGCAAATCAACCGCAGTCGCTGATCGGGGACGTACTAAGTAGTTGTTGCAGCTCAACTAATCATTGTTTTTGCTGTTGCGGTCGGAAGTCAAGCGGTCCTCGGAATGGAAGCTAATTGAGGCGCAAGGCGTTGGATGCGCTCTGATCCAGAACTGAAGCTGGCGTTTCCCGCGTCGCTAATCCGCGCCAGCGTCCAGTTGGTAATTTCTTGTCCCGCAGGTACGTACCGCCGCGTCTAGATCTCATGTTCAGCCTAGCTAGGATGCCACGGAGTCTAGACCGACGATTCGCAGCGGTATCTCCACCTCCCTGGAGCATCGGAGACGTTTCTTGCCAACAACGAGGTGGAGCAATACCCATAACCTGCAGGGATCGCCACGCATCTCGCCTCCAAGCCAAAATCGTCCACGAGCAAGGGTTCACGAGCAAGGGTTCACGAGCAAGGGTTCACGAACAAGGGGACCACGACGACGAATCGGTCACAAATTGGACGCACTATATAGCGCTGCTGCCGAAAGCTCAAATCATCCCGTTATCGCTATTCTGGAACCATGTCGAGATAAAGATGGGGCTCCAGAGTTGGAGGTTGCTTTGCGAAGCCTATTTGATTCCTCAGGGGACGCCACGGTGTTCATCCGTTCCTGGCGTAAGCCATTTCTGGAGTAATCAACTCGGATCCCCTGCCAGTACTACAGGCGAGGCCCAGTATGACCATACTGTCAAGACGAGTCCGTGCGCCCAGAGATCCAAAAGACCTTGTTCCAACAGGACATGTTTTTTGCACATAGCTGTACTGTACTGGACCACCAAGCAGTCATATTCGTTCCAGATTAGATTCAATGATGTTTTTGATCATCCAGCGATGGAATTTATGACGAGGTACCGTGGTGGTGGCTTTGTGTCGCAACAACGAAGAGCAGCCGCAAACAACTCCGGCTGCTAATACCGGCATAGACCGCCATCTCTCGATTTTGCTCGCGCATTCAAAAGGACTTGCATCCGATGAGGCATTCCTATTACGAAGGACCAAATGGTAAGCCCTCAACATGCCTGACGTCTCGCCAAGCCAGTACAAGTTCGAACAACACCGCAGCACAAAAGAAGCAATGCTAGAGGCACGGACCAAGCGGCAAGCACTGAGAACGCCAGAATACCAAGCCCAAGTCGCCAAGGCCGAAGGCAATCTTCAATTGATCAACATGATTCTGATGAGCTTCTCGCTGAGCAGAACGCCCATATTGATCAGCGGGTGAATCTCAGCCAGCATCAGCATAGGACGCAAGAGGCTCTACGAACGGTGATCTACGACATGACATAGGAAGAGCTAAGCCAGATCTCTGGCCTCTCGGCCAATCGCTTAGAGCAAGATATGTACTGTACGCTTTAGTCCTCAATCTTGGCTCGGAATGTGTGTAAGGAAGTTGCTGGAGTGCTTCAGTGCAAAGACAGAATGACCTGTCTGCGACGAGACAGGGCTAGTACAGGGCAGTGTGATCTCCATATTCGACCGTAATTAGAGATGTCAGATCTGAGAGAGTAGATTGACCTATGTTGCGGGTGATTGGAAGTATTTTGGAGGTTTGGTATAGTTGTAGATTACTACGCTGAGTGGTCTCACGTCGGCTACGTACAGTATGTAGTGGCACAACACAGAGACTAGTACAGTACAGTACCGATCACGCCTTGAAGTTCTCAGTATGCTGTCACTTGATTTCTCCGTGCAAAAGTGACCGAGATACTTTGTGAACGGACTTCTGCGGCACAATTTGGAGACGTGTCATAGCTTGATTGTTGTGGAGGCCGTTGCTTATTTCTGCCCCGTTCTTCGGAGTCTTCTCCTTGTGTAGGGCAAGCCGACCGATGTTCCATTGTACAAGGCTCACCGATCTACAGTAGAAGTCGAATTCAGTTTCCGTCTTTGCGGATAGGAATTATTCTGCGCACAAACATATGTGGTTCTTTTTGCTGACGGGATACATACCGGGCTCATCAAGTACATTCATCAATGGCCTACACCGTAAAGTCAGAATCGCTTCTTTACTGTGTTCTCGGTTTAGACCCATGTTGCGTACTTGAGACTGCATTTGCCATCGCCGTTTGTGGACGTTAGCTAATGCAACATGGGTCTAATCCACGAACACAGTGTATGTAAAAGCAAGTCCTGTCTTCGGCTATGAAGGCCCTCAAGAAGGTATTGTCGGGGCCTTGTCATGTATCCTGGCAGCAAACGGATCCACAAACATCTGTGCGCAGAAGAGTTTCTGTTCATGACCAAGGAAACCGATTTCGATTTCTACTGTAGCCAAGGCGGCCTGTTTGCAAGCAGCACGTGGAGTTGGCGTGACAGACGAAAGTGCGTGGAGCAGCAGATTCTGGGACATACTTGAAGACACCCATAAGTGACACCCAACGGCAGCGTCTCTCCGCTCGCCTTGAGCATGGACAATGTATAGTCTGGCACGGGTCGTATTGGACGATTATGGGACAACTGAAAATTATTTGAGATGAATTAAGCTAAACATTACGACGTGTGCTCAGAATAACCTTTCACCATCTTCACTTGCCCAATAAAAGCTACAAATCATATATGTGGTGTTACGTTGCATAGTGCAGTCCGAACGCTATACCCGAGAAACAGGCTCGAATGCCGCCGGTGCCTTGCATCTCGGCGGGTATAGTAGAAGTCCAAACGTCTGAAGCCCTGGGAATCATGATATCTGAGACATGTCAGAAAAACACGGCATCGGGCGAGCTGCCTCTTGACTCACAGCAAAGCCTGTAGTGTGGTTACGTTTTTGACCTCTTCTGATGTTACAGACACTGCATAGCAGCACAACCATGAGAATCAACGTGCCTGCCAGGCCTCCGATAATTCCAATTTCGACCGGCGTCATTGCACATATGCTGTAGGGAGTATACTTTCTGGCGAAAGCAAAGAGGACGGTTTCTGCGGATGTAGCAATCTTTTGTACTCGGGCATTCCCCTGTATGTGGCTCGATACCACCCAGTAGTAGATCAAATCGGCCGTGGCTGATTTACATCGCACTCAAGGCCGTATTGACTCTGCAGCAACATAGGCTTACCCGCGCTTTCGCCCTGCGCCTTCATGATTTCAATCCAATCCAACATGAGAAGCCAAAATCGGCTAAAAGAAATCCGAAAGCGGACAGAACCAGAAACTACCGGGATAGAGCAGGTTCTCACTGCAGTCGAGGCCAGGAGACACGTTTCATTTCCCGCAAGTATAACGACACCACAAGTTCGAAGCGGGCACACTATAGCTGCTACTATCATCATCTATCCGCCATGGCCTCTTCTGTCGTCCGGGTCTTGAGCCACTTGGCCGTTTTATGTAGTATCCTACATCACGTTTCAGGAGAGCAGCATGCAGATCAGCTTGCGAAAAGGGAGACTTCTCTCCAACCACGGGACTTTCTGCGTTCTTGCGTTGATTGGGGTATGTACTCTCATGAACGAAAGATAAAGATGGCTGCGTTTTGCAGGTCCACGGCAGGCGACTGGACCTGGTCGGTCCTTGGCTTGAACCTTTGTATGGTGAATCACGACGGTTCTCTGATGGCGCACGACGAGTAGGTATATTCTGGAAGCACTATCATAAAATGCTGATGACTTCCAGCGGAAACTTCTTTCTATCTGCCGGCCCCTGTTTATCCGATAACTCGACGTTGTCGTGGGCCAATTATAAATGCAGCACGCAAAACGATGACGGCGACGGGCGTCATGTCGATCACGGGATAGATCTTAGTAAGAGGTACCAATTACCGTTCTGTCGGACGCGACTGACACATCTCAGACTTGGTGGTCGGTAATGACAATGGCATTCTGTTCTGTGGTCAACGAGCCCACAAGGGGCTTCTGCTCAGCCAAGAGCAAGTTAGCTGGTTTGACTGGGGCATCGTGGTTAACTAGGGCGACAACGCGTGGTTACCGGTGCATTTAGATCGGCCACTCTTATTTCATCCATGGCACTATCGTCACAGACTATGATGGAGAGTAGGCTATTCCGTGATCGTTGATGAGCGCTGTGCGCTGTTCGAGGACGTCTGACGATTTCAATGAAGGCATCGAGAAAGTGAAGTAGGATCGTCTACTTAGGCTAAGCAAGGCATTATTGCCGTCGCGAATATAAGTCATTACCTTGGCCTTTCTGGAGCATTCATTCATGAGAACGAATGATTTGCGGTCGTCATGCCAAACGGTTGCCAATATGCATTCTTCATTAGCTATCTCCCTGTCAAAACCCAGCGACTTATCACTCCCACGCCGTGCATCTGGTCAATTCTTACATGTACGTTCATGATGCAGCTAGTTGTAACTCTTGCTCCAGCAAATATGGCTATGAAAATTCTGAAATCAATGTTGATGCCGGTGGTCGGTTTCTTGGGTCGGGGTATTATAAGGGGAAAAGGACGAGTCATGCTGTGAATGAACGCCCCGTAGGCTGAGCTTTGTTGATAAAAAGAGGAAGAATAACGGGAGAACTCACGATCGGAATGACGTAGAGATTTTGAATGCCCGTTAGGTGCCCGTGGGGAGATTCCTAGCTCCGGTCACATATTTCTTTTGCTGGAGAAGGACTAAAGCCATGCCATATTCAGGTTGTGGTTCGAGCTGGCTCTGCCATCCGCCAAAAGCTGCTTGCATGGACTATCGGGCCTCTACGAGTTGGGCACATCACGCTGGAGATGTGCGCCGTTCCAAGGAGGTTCGATTCCGTGCTGGGGGTTGAAGTTCTCTCCCGGGATGCAGATACGGGCATCTGACCGCATCGCGTCAGCAAGTGTGTTCAATCGTGAGACCTTCTCTGTCGTCTGCGATATGTCAGCGTCTTGCAGTGAATCCAACGGTATGTAAAGGTGAGTCGAAGCGACGATGTGAGTCAATCAGCGGAGGTGAATTCGATGAAGCAGTTCTTCTATTGTTGTCGAAGAGTTGTCCAGCTTCAACTACGCATTCCATTCACGAAGTTCACTGACGCAAGGGGTCTTCCACCTGGCACCGTGTGTGATGGCAAGCGATGGCCATTACATCACCTGCATACCTTAGTCCATCCACAGTGTCCTGATCAAAATTTTGATCACAGTGCTAGTCGCGATTTCATCTTACGCCGGGTGATGGAGATCACGGTGCTCCCAATCTGGAGACAAACGGATCGACGTTGAAATCCTGCTAGATCATTGGTCTAGTGCATCTGATGTGCTGCCCTATTATCTCGTCAGCCAATCACATCCCTTGTCTAACCAAGAGCGCGAAACTTGCGGGAGATCTAGCACATGCGGTCAAGGGATGCTCCTTGCTAAAACTCTATCACAAGCGGATACTACTCAGCAAATGTTTGACGTGACAGTCACGGGAAAGTGCATCAGAGGCTGATCTCTATGAGTTCCGCATGGCAGTATCAAGGACCTAGGATGGCGCCAACCAAGCGCTTCTAATGGATGATTTGCACGCATCTTGCGAACGAATTTCGAGGAAGAAAAAGGGTTGCAACTGTCTTGGAATCGATTCGTATTCTGGCATACACTACACCCCGCGACTTTCATGCTACTTGCAGCGTCGGTCGCTAGTGAAGTAAGCGTGGGGTTTGACGTCCCCCTCGAACCACGCTCAACTCCTGGAACCGTGAATACTTCCGCGGCCCGTCACCTGAGTGTGCAACGCGTGTTCAGTTCGTAGGCGTCTATCCATTGACGCGCTCCTGATGAAGAGACTCATCAAGAGCGCCAGTCCGGAGACGCCGACATACAATCCATAGACGCCACGCAGGCCGTAGACGTACGCATCTACGATCTTGGATCCCAGCCCAGCGTCGCCGACAGCGCTCAACATGGCGGATAGAGCATGGGTACCTCCGTGCGTCCCTGCGGGTGCCAAGCCATCGTCTTCCAACTTGCGCAGCACCACATTCTGAAAGGTGGAACCGCCCACGCCGACTCCGAGTGCCATGCCAAACTGTCGGAGAAAGGCATACATCGCTGCGGCGATCGCTTCGTCGTCCTTGTCGCAGAGAGCTTGCGATGCCATGTTCTGTGCGTTCAAGATGCAGCCATGGCCAAGACCAAGGAGGACGAGCGTCGGCGCTCATACCTTCGTTGGCGTGTCGACATCCCACAGCATCATCAGCCCGGAGGCAATGGTAGCCAGAGTCCAGCCGACCCAGATCGGCCACTGATAGTTGTCGAGTACCGTGACGAGTCGACCGGTGATGATCGATGCCGGCACCAGCGTGAACATGACCGGGAAGAGTGCGATGCCGGTCTGGACCGGGGTAAAGCCTTTGACGTCCATAAAGTAAAGGGGCACGTAATAAAGCTGCCCATACATCTGCGGCTGTTGTCAGCATGTCCTACTGCGCGATTCATGACAGGCCATCCTCACCACGAGGCCTTGGATGGCGCCGCAAGCATACGTCGCGACGGAGCTGGCGGTTTGGAAAAGTCGGCGCTGCAAGAACGGTAAGACTGCGAAGCATGACTCGTAGATCATAGTCAGCGCCATGCCGAGTACCCCGAGCAACAACGGTGCAAGAGTGCCGGCGCTGCCCCAGCTGTAGCGCAAGCCTCCCCAGGAGACGGCCACCAACAACAAAATGGCCGAACCAATAAACAGAGAGTTTCCTAGCCAGTCCATCTTCTTTAGTTTCTCCCGTACATCGTCAGCGGGAGGATCAATATTAACTAGCCACGGCACGAGAATCAGTCCGGCCACGCAAAATGGGAACATGATGTAGAAGACCCAACGCCACGTTGTGTGTTGAGCAATGACGCCGCCCAGTATGGGCCCAACGCAGTTGCCCAATGCCCATGCTGCCTGTCTGAACGGGGTAAGCGAAGGTGAACATGCGTTCGAGGGGGGGCACTTACACTAAGCCGTACCACGTTGGCCGAACGGGCAAAGGGACGAAGTCGGTGAAAATCAACAGGCACAAGACGATGATGCCGGCACCGCCCACGCCTTGAAGAGACCTCCCAACCAACATGAAGCCGATCGAATGCGCAACGCAGCAGAAGATGGTACCGAGAGCGAACAGGGCGACCGAGACGGTCAGACATGGCCGCCTACCGAACACGCGGCTTGCGTCCGAAATGAACAGCATCATTACGGCGTTCGCCAGGAGGTACGCCGTCCCTATCCAGAAGCCGTCGTATGTGCTGAGCGCGAGGTCCGCCACGATGGCCTGTGATGGTTAGTTCGCGCAGTGCAGGGATAGTCGCGGGGATGACGGCGAACTTGTAAAGAAGTCACAATGATACAGGCGTCGAGGGCGACCATGAGTGACAAGATGGAGGCTGTCGCCATGATAGCACGTTGACGCCCCGAAGGACTCCATTTGACCAGGCCGGAACTAAGTTCGTCGTCTTCTAGCCTGTCGGAATGGATAGGCTGTTGGCGGTGCATGGTCGGGGTTGGGTTGGAAGGCAGAGTACGATGCTGGGTAGAGGGTACCGGGGAAACGTTCTTATGCTGAGATCGTAGCCTGGAACGGATGACGGCCGTCTTTTTGTAGCAAGAGTTCATGTCGAAATACCCACCCGGAGATGTGCTAGGTAGCGTCCCAAGCGTCTCTAGCATTCGTGCGCCAGATCTGTCCACGACCGTTCAATAGGCACCCCCGTGTCGACTCAAAAGAGACTTCCTGCTTTCTTTCGTTACATTTCAAGAGTCGTTTTTGGCTATTCGAGTGGCACCATTCGGTGATATGCAGATGCTTCGAGCGTGAGCTTGTCACACCGGCTTTCGCAGACAGGTCGAACTTGGAAAACATATAAGGCGCAGTAATACGTCCGAAGAACTGACCCGAAGCCTCGTCATGCTTCCTGCAAAATGAACGATTATGAAGTCTTTCGTCAGCTTGCTACACATCCTTTCACGTCCGCAACACTGGAGATGTTGCAATCCGCCTTGCGGGTCATCCGCAGGCGCTACCCGGTCTCTTTCAACGGAGACACCGGGACAGATAGTGCGGAGTTTCCACCACGGGAAGCCTTCGAGCAAACAAAGATGCCGTTTCATGTGACGAGCGGATGGATTGAATACATGAAGACTATAGGTAACTCCATCCATAACACAGCACAAGAGGTGTCGCCATCGTTGCGGCGTTTTGCCAGGGGCGACCACTCCGTGGATCACGACGTAGTCACCGATTATACCGGCCTGCTGCAATCATCTTATCCGTCGTCACACTACGCAGACCCTGTAATTTTCACGTCGAATGGCCTGGAAACAGCTGCTACGCTCTGCAGCACTTCCGGTGCCATGACGGTAATTCCATGCAACTACGAAGGGGCCTGGTGTGCGGCCGTCGCCTACGCAGATTGCGTACAGCTGTACGGAGTGCAGGCTGAAAGCAGCTCTACAATGGTAGAACGCTTACAGGATCTGTTTCCTGGCCGCAAAGTCCGCTTACCCGAGCCTCTTGTTGCAACACGACTCGAAGATACTGGAGTTTTGATGCTGCTGAGCATGCGAATGCTCGTCGGCGGAAGTGTGCCGGCGCAGTGTGCCGACGTCGCGTTTTTACAGCGTTCGCGAGCACGAATCTTCGTAGAGCTCTTGACCAAAAAGCTGGATGCAGAGGATCGCGATGTCGCCAGCCGGATCCAGGAAGCGCACGCGGAGGACTCTCTCTTTTTCGATGAAGCTTTCGCACACGGAGAAGACCTCCGCGTGCGGACCGACGCGATGATCCCAGCAGATATAGGAGATGGAGTCGACTTTACGCTTGGTGCCTCTCCCGACCCTGGAGCTTTCTCCTTAACGGGACTAGGCTCCGGCGTGACGACCAGTTTGTTGCCTCGGGCCCCGCATCATTCATCGTCGTCCCCGCAGCCGGCCGGCCCTGCCTACGAGAAGTTCACCTCACTGCGCAGTGGGCGTACATTCGGCGTAGGCACGTTCGAGATGCCTCCGACCATGTCTGGGGAATGCAAAACCATGCTCGCCATGATGAGCGAGGCCGTCGCCTTCTACCGAAGCTCTCGCCTGTCGGGGAGCTCCGAACTTGCAGTGATTTGGTCCGCGATCAGGACCGGACAAAAGAGTGAGTTTTACCGCCGTTACGGTGGTGTGCTGTTCTACAGAGAGATGCTGCGGCTCAAAAGCGATCGGGAACTTGCCTTGCGCTTGAGGCTCAGCATAGCTCCGAGTGATATAAAAGAGATGAGACGCCTCCAGTCAAACTTTCGAATCTGGCACGACATTTGCCAGCTGCGCCATGACTGGGGGCCGGGTCAGTATGCGCTGCTTTGTGTGCTACCAGAAAGACCAAACGTAGAACGGATGAGCGAGAGAGAGCAACAGGTGCAGCTACGGAGACTCCAAGAGCGGCTTGACGATGATCGCGACCCCCTTTCAAAACAAGTAGACACCGCCAAAAACCTGTGCACCGCCCTAGTTCAGGGGCAAGTAGACTCCGACAAACGACTATTGATCGACGATTATCACTTCAAGGCTTATCAGGATCTGTCGGCAACTTCCCTCTCGCCTAATTTTTCTTGGCATCTGCTGTTAGTGAATGAGTGAGCCTACCACCAAATTACTAACAGCCGAAAACTCTTCACCTCCCCTTGCCGGAGCCCGCATCCGCGATGGCCTCACAGCCGCCGTCGGGCACCGGACTGATGTCGGCCGACCAAGCCGACCCCGAATCAGGCTCCGGGACACCTCCGGAGCCGAACCCCACCTCAAGAGCTAAGCGACGCCGCGACGCCGAGGCACAGCCGACCCGGCCCAGCCTAACGGGAAGCCAGCTTGATGCCACCACCGACGCCCCTACCTCGGCCGAGGGGCCCGCAGCCTCTACCGCATCTGCTCCGAGCGGATCTGCCACAGGGTCCGTCTTGACAGCCCTTGCAGAAGAAGCTAGACAGTACGAGGCACGGAAAGACGTCTTTCTGACCATTGCACGGTCCGTCGACAGCGTTGTCGCCAGCTTTGACGGTTCTAGAAAGCAGATCGCGAAAGAAGCCACTGCCTATGTCATTCAAACCCTCAAGAGACTGATCAATCACGAGACAAGCCCAATAGCGGCCCGGAGTTGGGCGGCTGTCGTCGCACCGATGGCGGGCAACACCACTGCGGCGACCCGGAGCGGCCAGAGCTGCCAGAGCTCTGCCCGCCCGAAGGCCACACTCCCCGCCGAGGATCAGCCGCAGGCGCAGCCGAAGGAGGACCTCCGCATCTTTGCCCGCGTCCCGGAAGAAAGCTTAGCGGCCGCTCGGAAGATCGCACCGTTCGCCGTACGACAGATCGTCTGTAAGGCCGTTGGCCTGGGGCTAGCGGACCTTCCCCACGTCTACCATATCAGCACAGGTTACTCTCTGAAGCCGCGAAACAAGCAAATACAGGAAAGACTACTTGCAAGTAAGGCAAAGCTGGCGGAATGCCTCGGCGCCCACCAGGTCGAGACGCCTATCAAGTGGTACACTTACGTTGTGCCGCGATGCCCAACAAAACTACACAGCATTGGCGGGGACGTCCTGGACCCAGCCACACTCGTTGAAGATGAGGTCTTCGCACAGACAGGACAGAAGCCTGTCCTTGCTCGACCGTCCCGCCTTGGGCCCAACCCAGTCACGAACGAAATATCTTGGCTCATATCATTCACATCAGAGGTCACGCCCTTCAGGCTCTTCAACCAAAGCGGCAGATCTCTGCCCGTCAAGAAACGAAGGACGCTCATCCGACACGACCCCGGCTGCCAGGGCTACCACTCCAACCGGTTCTGCGGACGACGACCGATCTGCAGCAACTGCGGAAGACCTTCCGATTCACACGAAACGGGACCCTGCATGGCCAGGCCCCAATGTGCCAACTGCTGCGGCCCCTTCCAAGCCAGCCACACAGACTGCCCAGCGAGGCCCTCGGCCGTAAACGGCGTCGTCTCCCTTCCCGGTCGAAAGGAGCGGGCTCGGATCCGGAAGGCCGGCCAGAAAGCATCGGACACTCTGTACAAGGCTACTCGATCCGACAGTAGCCAGGAGGCGGCAGGCGTCCCTACCTCCACCAGCCAGAACCAGCAACCCGGCGCCAAGCGCGCGCGCACGAGAACGCCCTCCGCAAGCTCGATCGTTTGCCTCGGTGACGGAAGCACTGACAGCAGCAGCATGGATGAAGACGAGGCGGACGAAGGCGAAGGCGAAGACTCCCCGACAACACCTCCATCGACCGTCCCGTGCTACCCATGCCAAGCAGGAGCCAACGGGCAGCACAGAAGCCAAACTACAACGTCGCGAATGCCTACACCCACCTCGAACTCGACTCGGAGACGTAAGCCGAGAGCGGCGACCCCACGGATGCTACGCGTTGCGCAGGGCAACGTCGGAAAGATCTCCCCGGCGCACACGGCTTTCCTGCAGCTCTGCTGGGAGGCTCAGATAGATGTGGTCCTCGTCCAGGAACCCTGGACGGGCTGGAAGGACGGAAACGTGCAACTGAACACGCACCCGGGTTTCGACTCTTTCGTCCCGGTCGACTTCTGGGACAGCGAAGGAACCAGACCAAGAGTATTGACCTACACACGCAAAGGGATAGGGATGACGGTGGAGCAGCAGAGGCCTGTCCACACGAGAGACGTACTGTGGCTGGTGGTCGACAAAACGACGACTATCGTCAACGTGTACAGACAACCCCGCGACCCCCACAGCCGCACAACAGGGATACTGCTAGAACTCAAACCCCCGGAGCGAGCTTTGATCGCGGGTGACTTCAACGCGCATCACTACTCTTGGGAGCCCGGGACGAGGAACGGGAACCGGGGAGATGACATCGCAGGCTGGGCAGACGGCCACAATCTCTCTCTTATCAGCGAAGTTGGGGTGGCAACCCAGGATTGCGGACATGTCCTGGACCTGGCTTTCTCTAATATCCCTTTTGCGCACGCGCAGGTCAGCCCACAGTTACACCCGGGAGCTGACCACGAGGCCATCGTGGCCGTCATACCACTATTCAAACGCCCAGTGTCACAGGGAGAGGGCCACCCGCAGCCACGGCCACTGTCAGTGCCCGACTCGGCGCTGCCTCGGCTGAGAGACCTGATCGAAGGGGGGCTAGCTGCGATGCCCAATCTGGGGGATCAACCTACTCCGGCAGACCTGGACGGGCAGGCAAGTCACATCGTCGAGCTCTTCTCCCGAGCCATTGAGGCGGTCGGCAAGAAGAGAGGAAAACAGGGAAAAGGCGCGGCTTGGTGGACGGAGGAATGCGCAGAGGCCCACAGAACGTACCGTGCTGCCCGCAACCCACAAGCCTGGGAGACGGAGCAGAACGCAAATCCTTCTCCAATGGAAGAGCGGAAGGCATTCCTGAGCATTGTGAGGAAGGCTAAGCGAGCATACTGGGCCGGAAAGATCGATGGAGTCGCTTCAGACCGGGACCTCTATCAGGTCATGGGTTGGCGGAAGGCGAGCCCACTGACCAGAGCACCCCCATTGATTGTGGACAACCAGACGATCGAGGATACTAACGAAAAGGCCCAAGCGCTCCGGAAAGCCCTTCTCGACAGGTTTAGTGCGGAAGATGACGCACCGGGTGACCCGTTTGACGTACCCGTCGTCCCAAGGCGAGCGATTACTTGGCAGGACAATGTTAGCGGAGAAGAAGTGAAGACGGCCACCTTAACAAAGACAACGACCCCTGGTGTGGACGGGATCACCACGCGCCTCCTCCAGGCCTGCTGGGGCGTCATCTCGGAGCCGGTCAGGCAGCTATTCCAGTCCTGTATGCGGGCCGGCCACTTTCCTCTGCCTTTCCGCAGAGCTGAGGTGGTCATGATCCAGAAGGCCGGCAGGGATGCCTCCAAGCCCGGGTCCTGGCGTCCGATCGCGCTCCTCTCGTGCCTGGGCAAGGGACTCGAGAGACTGATAGCCAGAAGGATGGCGTCCCTGGCGATTGTCGAGCGCATCGTCAGTCCGCAACAGATCGGAGCCCTACAGGGCAGGTCAGCCGTCGATCTGACGACCTGCCTCGCCCACGATATCGAAACGGCCCTCCTAAAAGGGCTCACGGCGACACTTCTGACTATGGACGTAAAAGGGGCGTTCGACTCCGTCCTTCGGAACCGGCTCGTCATTAGACTGCGTCAGCAGGGATGGCCACACGGCTTGGTTAGACTCATCTTCAGCTTCTGCTGCATCCGCATCGCCAGAGTCCGACTGGAAGAAAGCACAACGGAATACTTTCCTCTGTCATGCGGGCTGCCGCAGGGGTCGCCTCTGTCTCCCATCGTCTTTCTGCTCTACATCGCGGAAATACTTGAAGACGACCCGGACGCGCGATTCGGGTACGCGGACGACATCGCCACTCTGGCCATAAGCCCCTCCCTGGAGAGCAACGTCGCAATACTCAACCGAAGCGCAGCCGGCATTCTCAGATGGGGTTCGGAGAACAAGGTCTCCTTTGACCCGAGCAAGTGCGAGGTCATCCACTTTACTAGGAAGCACGGCCAGCCAGCGGAGCTGCCAGAGGTCAGGGCGGGGGATTTGGTGGTCAAGGCCTCGACAAAACCTGTACGCTGGCTGGGTGTCTGGTTCGACAAGAGACTGTCCTTCCGGCACCACGTCGACACAAGAGTAGCTGCGGCAAAGAAGGCAGCTCAACACCTGAGGCAGCTTACAAACACAAAGAGAGGACTGCCAGCGGCCGCCGTGCGAAAAGCCGTCGTCTCCTGCGTACTGCCGATCGCGCTCTTTGGCGCCGAAACATGGTACGCAGGTATCACGAAGCCGGCTTCGAGACGCCAAGCGGAGACAGACACGAATCCGCCTCTCCAAGGAAGACCCGTCAACACAGGCCAGAAGGGGCTCGTGCAGAAGATCGACAGCGTCATTACAGCGGCGGCAAGGGCCGTTCTGCCTGTCTGGAGGACAACGCCAACCAGCAGCCTCCTCCGAGACGCCGGCTTACCGTCAGCCAAAGTCGCTCTAGAGGGCGTCCGCTTACGGGCCGCAGTCCGACTGCAGAGGATCGATCGCCGACACCCGCTAGTCGCGCGGCTCTCCCAGCAGGGACAGCAACAGACGAGACTACAACGGACGGCTGAACTTCTGCCAAGATGCGGAAGACCAGCGTTCCTCCAATCACAGTACCTGCCAAGCTCACAGGATCAGATAGTAGTTCAATGCAAAGAAGAGGCTGCGAAAGATTTCGAGCGCTGGCTAAAGACAGTACCGGAAAGCCATATGATCGTCTTCTCGGACGGCTCCAGGGCGACGAACGGAGCCGTGGGGTACGGCTTCGTCATCTACCGAGACTCCAAACGCATAGCGCAAGGGTGCGGCCGACTCGGACTGGCAGAAGTGTTCGACGCCGAGGTCGAAGGAGCGCGAGCCGGCCTCAGAAGGGCTCTGCTCACCAATCGCGGTCATCCAATCCACATATGTATCGACAACACCAGCGTTATACAAGGTATCCGCGGCAAGGCGCCGGACTCGTCACAAGAGGCGTTCCTCGAAATCCAAGAAGCAGCCAGGATTTTTGATGTACGGACGCACTGGTCTCCGGGACACCAGGGCATCGAAGGAAACGAGGCCGCGGACCGGCTGGCCAAAGAAGGAACGACACTGCCGGCGCGGATGGGTCAAATGGCAACACTAGCGGGTATCAAGCGGCTTGCAAGGGAAAAACTACAGGGCCACCACAGGAGATGGTGGTATAAAGAGCGAAGGCCGCGGTACGCGGACTTGGGGCTTGAGGCAGCTCTATCCAGCCCTCCTGAACTGGCCTTGCCGCGGGCTACGCTACATCACCTGCTGGCGGCACGATCGGGTCACGGGGACTTCGAGCAATATCACCGACGTTTCAACCACGACGACGCTCTAATGATGTGCTCTTGTGGAGAGGCAAAAGACGTGGACCACCTGGTCTACTGTCGACTAACGCTGGCGAGGAGGCAACGGTGGCCGACCCTCCACTCTCGCAGTATGCCCGAGCCCATAGGCCCTATGGGATCTCTCGAGGCCTACTTCAAGAGATTAATCACCGACCCACGAGGCTTCGAGGCCTTTCTCCGCGTGACGGACTTCTTCCAGAAGATCTGTCTGCGGTAGCAGCATCCACACCTACGTAGATGTGAGTGCGGACTACAAAGAACCTCCCGATTCCAAGGGACGATTTGGGAAAGAATGAAACTGGGGCACCAGCGGGAACCGGGGACAGACAGAACGCGTAGTGGCCACAAGGCATGATTTGGAGGACGATGTAAAGAGACGACGTACTGTAGAGTAGGTAGCCTTGGCTCACGGCCCTCCACGCCATATACCCTTCGGGAGGTCTGCGGTAAGGGCTCTAGCCCGGCCGCCACGGCGTTAAATACAACAACAACAACAACAACAGGATCTGTCGGAGCTGGAGTTTGCTGCTTACATGAGCCTCGATCCACGGCCAGTCATTCCCATTGAACGACATAGATCCTGATGGCACAAACTGGGGGCTTTTCCGCGACGCGGGCAAGTGATGGAAGCAAAGACAATCAGGAGCATAGTAGCAAAGTAGCAAGCGAAACTTTATTCCCTTTACAACTCTCTGATCTCTTTCTGCACGGACGTCTGTCTTCTTGGCACTACATACATATCATAGTTTGATCTCACACTGCTGTACTGACCCACCGTGGAGGCCCTGCTGACAGCTTTCGCCCCACCTCATCCAGGTCTTTGGAGATGTACGGAAAACGGAGGAATTCCAAATGTTTGCTTCTACTGCTACTCTAAAAGTGCTTGTAACCTGCTTGTGTTTACGTGGTGCTATTGGTTTTCCCCCGTTCCGTCTTACACAAAGGTGCCGTCATCTTTCACTTCAGATTACTTCATCCATTTCCCCTGTACGCTTTTAGACACCCTGCTGTGAGATCAGGGCAGGATTGAGAGCGGATTACAATTATGTAGAAGTACAATAGAGGTCAGTTTAATAGAACGCCGAACGGTCGATTCACTCCACAGATTGGCAGACTACTGGCCGTTATGTGACGCGGCGGATGGCTTACCTAACATTGCACCTGACGTGTACGAGCTTGTGCCAGTCGTGATGACTGCATTCTGGAAATCAGCAGCATCCATTTTTTCTTCCAGGGGTCCATACCCCAGTCGAACGGGACTCTTGCCGCAGGGACGCGCGCATGATGAGAGCTTCATTTGGCTTTGGTGTCATCAAAGGGTGAGTCTAGTTTTGCCGAACAGCCCTATTGTGATTACCTGGCCACGGCCAAGACCATCAAAAGTGGGAAACGGCCATCTGCCTTGTGGACCCTGCTGAGCCGACGCCCTTTGTCTCATGGCTATTAGATGTACAGTATGCACAATACTGTACATATCAACGCTGTCCGCTACGCACTCTCACTCCAGTGCCGAGATCTAACGAGACCGCAAAGAGGGCTGGTAGTTCCGTACCTAACGGCCCGAGCAGCACCTAAGAGCGTGTAGAGTCTATTCCCAAATTACAAGCCACTCAACGAAACCATATTCGGCCGCGCCTGCCGGCCCCTCATCGCCACGCAAGCAGGAAACGGGATTCAAAGCAGTGTAGCGAACGGCCCTTTCTGGAGTGTTTGCCGGACGCCACGCAGTTGGCTTCTTGCTTCACGCAGAGCCAGAAAATGATTTCAGCCGTAATTCCACGACGGAGCAAAGATATAAATGCGATATGTATGCTTGCGTCCTCTTTCGAACCTTTCTTTTGGGCTTCGATCACGCAACAACCACGTCTCCCCTCCTCCATACAGCGTCATGATTTCCAAGGTCACCATAGCGCTGCACGTCATCTTGACACTAGTCATACTCGCGTTGACCGTCAGGATTCTGCAGGATGAGCAGAACGAGGAGAGTGGCATAGTACAGATTCTGGTACGTGACCCATTACGACGACAATGCGGGACTAACGACAGTAAAGCTACGGAAAGAAGCGCGGCGCTTTGTTCAGGTTCCTGATGTGGTCGGATCTATCGCTACAGCGGTGAAAAGTGCGGCTTCCAGCGTGGTCACAGCCGCAGTTGCGTCGGGCGAGTCTCTAGTCGCCGCAAGCCTGCCGTCGCGCGTGTCGGTGGGCACGAAGTACGCATGTGTGGATTCTGAATGCTCCGCCGTCCCTGGTTCCGCGTTCCATCTGGTCCAGTACTTGGTCTCGTTTCTTCCTTCGCCTGAGGAGGCCGAAACGTTACAGGAGTTGGTAGACAAATGCCCAAACCTGGAAACCTTTCTGTCCGCCGGGTTGGGATGTGCTCTTGCTTCGACCATACTGCTACTTTCCGGTCTCAAGTTCAGGTTGCTCCGCTTCGTATCGCTTGGATTGGGTACCGTCTCTGTTATCCTGTTTGCAGTAGCAGCTGGTTTCGCGGTGTCGCTGTACAAGACAGCCGAGGCTGTGGCAGACCTCCTTGGTGTCGAGGCGAGCAGAGGAGACCTCTTTGAGGCATCCCTAGCAGACTTCTTAGCAAGCTTGATTATGACGGCGCTCGTACTCGTGGAGATCATCCTTTGAGAAGAGGGTTGTAAAGCTATACGATATGGAATTCCGACGGAGAATCGATGGAGTACCATACATATCTCTACGGGAGGGGCCCGATGCACGCGCTCGTAGTTGTCATGAAGTATCTCTAAAGACATCGCTCCTGAATATGTCGGTGGATATCGCGCATTTACCGAGACACCTCCCGCATATCTGAACCCAACCCTGCCCAGCTATACCCTCAGATAACTTGGAGAAAGAATAAGGCGTCCCGCCCAAGAGCTATGGAAATTTTACTAGCCAATAACATAGAAAGAATGCACTACAATTAGCAATTCCTCTATCAGGTTTATGGATCGAGAACACTGGAGGCTCCGTTATAGCTGGGTAGGACTAGGTAGAAGTCCATACTTCCTTGGATCATTTATGGCAGGCTCCCTAGTCACGAAAACTTCATCCTAGAAAGGCTGCAGATTGACTGCAGTATTTCCTTTGTTCTAGATAGGCTACCTCGAGCTACTTTTAATACACTCATACATATATGCCCATTGGTATGTGCCATAACTCGTGACGCTACGTCTGTCGCTGGTGGAGTCGTCGCTGGTCGAAGGCATCCTTCCGGGAGTGGCGACGGTGGATTGACGGCAGTAGAGTCTTCCCTACTCAGAGTCTAGGCATCCCTCAAGCTTTGGGCAGCTATAACATGAGTAACTCGGCCCGAGGCCACCTCTGAGTGCGGTTCTAACATTAACATACAAGCCATGGTCTTAATTTAAGAGTAAACCCGGACACGTTTTCAGCCTCGCTTTTAGGCGTTCAGTTCAACTTCAGACAAATAACAGAACAAGATCCAAATACAGTAACCCTGGCCATACGGTACATGAAAAAGGTAACATGTATCTCTTGGCATGATTCCCCGGCTAACCGGGACAATATAAGAGCCATTATTTGCTACGAGAAAGAAACAGGGTCAGTCTCGAGCGAGTGGTTAACACGAGAGTCCTGACACCTTATCAGCAAGAAAAGACGAAAGTGGTTGAATTATCTAAGGACTTTTACAGCGATACTTGAGCAATCGAGTTCGGCTATTACTGCACAGTGATAGGAAGACTTGCTTTCTGAGATCGGAGCTAAAACATACCCTGCTAGAGAAGCGGCGGCTCAGCCTGGCTGCGATCTTTCTTATATCTAAGCGATCAATAGCGGGGCTGGAAGTCGCGCCGGATCGGACCCACCGTTAGTGAACTCTTCGTGAGGATCAGGTTCGCTACCCGGCAGCCAGACCTTTTCCAGAAGGGGACGAAGCTCAACCCAAGTGTCTTCCCAACATCAAGCCATCCTCGTGACATCCTGGTACTGAATACCTATCAGTAGCTAACTGCTCAATGCTCTATCGCAGCCACTTTTACAGACAATCAATTGTAAACTACGAGATACAGAGCTCTAAACATTCTAACTTGGTCCTATTTTGAGGCACGACGTGGAGAGAAAGATCAAAGGCCCAGCCATGATCTTCAGAAACCATGCTCACTCCTTCTTTGGCTGCGCAGACGCCTTGGCCGATCCCACTAGCTTTCTATGTTCTCTGTGAGTGTAATCATCATCTTTTTCATCTCCATTATCTCTTCTTCGAGACCTCTGACTCTATCCTCCTGCTGCTCGGGCGTGCGGTCAGTCTTGCCTGCCGCTTCATCCAGGCCCTGTTTTCGCACATCCAAATGTCTTTTGGCGGAAGAAGCTGCCTGAGCATTCTGCAGAGCCCTGCGACGAACGGGGTCCTTTTCCAGCCTTGAGGGGTCATAATACTCGCTGATGTAGCCGGCGTCCCAAGGCGGGGCGATGTTGTCTCTCCGACAGATCTTCTCGATCTCGGCTCTCGCACTCGAACGACCAAGGACCATGCTGAAGCTACTGACGGTAAGGATTTGAATGCCTTTGGTGCGGAACTTGACGCAGCAGTCTGCGGTGGGGTTTTTCTTCCTGGCCGCAGTATTCTTGCGCTTTATGTGGGACTCGGTGACCCAAAGGAGCTCTTCGAAGTCGTTGCGATCATCACAAGACCATTGAGATTGGCCTTCCGCCAGATTCTTGTAGCCATCTATTTGACGGTACCTTTCCACCTCCAGGAGTCCAGCTTCAGACGCTGACTGAAGACGGCGAATGACTCGTCCGTCTTCTTCCCGCATCTCAACGCACACCTGGTGCCCAAATTGCCCTTGTTTCCGCACACCTATGATGAGGGAGCCATCAGCCGCCTGGGCTGTGGGCCACAGGTATTGGATGACGGCCTGACTTTCAGCAAGTCTCTTGGCTTTGGCCACCTCAGCTCCGTTGTCCTGTACCTGCAAATAAACACCCGCATGCAGGACTCTCCAGTCTCGCGGAAAGTGATTCCTTTCAATGAAGTCGTCGATTACTTTCTTTTCGGCAGCGATGACATCCCTGGCTTCTTGGTTCGATCTGTCATTTAGAAGGATCTTGTAATTATCCCGGACGAGGTTGAAATGGGTGCCGAAAAACTGTAGAGAAATACACCAGCGGTCTGGAGATATGTCAGAATCATCAGCACCTGAAGCTTCCTTCTCTGCTGCGTTGAAGTCAGAGATCAGCATGTTGAAGTTGTGTATCTCCTTCCGCGCGACCGGATCGTCAGGATTTCCCCTCAGACGATGAAGCGAAGGTGTTGCTTTGTCAAAGATGTCCCTCACCGCTTGCGGTGGAACGGGAATGGGATCAACTTCCATCGGGGATTCATCTTCTAGGTCTGGAAGCTTCTCGCCGTCCCAGTTGACCACTTCGTCTATTTCGAGGTGGTTCACGCTCAGCTCTTGGGCCGCCACATGAAGTTCTTTTACAGCCACGTCAGCATGCAACCAAGATTGTGAGCCAAGTCATCCCTACTGTGAAAAGCCTTGTCAGCATTCTGATGATCAGTGACACTCGCGTGCAGAAGGCATCCCAAGCGTCTCCAGGCGATCGCCGTCTCCTTTTCCGTGGCGTCCGGTCTGACTTCCAGGATTTCCGCATAGGAATCATCGGCGCAACCAAGGATGCGCTGAATCTGCGCTGGAACCTCGCCGACGTGTGCACCGGCGCCACTTTGGGGCTGAGTAGCTTTGTCTACGTCCATGTTGCCCGTGCTGCCTGCGGGAACATCGGGAAGCTGCTGCGCTGCAGCAGCGGTTCTCCTTCGTTCAGCCTGGATCCTACCATCTTCGACCTCCGGAGTCGCTTCTGGCGACGGCAAAGGCAAAGTTGGTCTGGGGGCGGGGCCTTTGATGGCTATAGGCGTCACGGGGTTCTGTGGAATGTTTTGGCTCTCTGTAGACATGATTGATCGCCGGCGGATGATGTGGTTTCAGGAAGAGAAGACTGCTGTGAGCGACGGTGTCTCCGCGGCCCTATATACCTCGGGCGAGTCCAGCACCGCGGCGAGTATTGGAGATTCTACTGAACACGGCACGGCACCTCCGTTAAAAGCCGTTCTGGGCTTCGTCGTGCAACTAGACGTTCAGGGAGCACCTGCTACTGTACTGTATACTGTACTGGGCCGAGAATGACTTGAGCCGGAGATGACAATACCGGATGAGACGACGGGGCGCAAGTCCACTTCTGTCGAGATACGGCACTAGAATCCACGACCCCTGATCTGAAGACCGAGCCCTAAGCCACTTATGACTGTTCGTGAACCCGTAGTTGAGAACGGCTGAAGCAAGAAGCAACTTTCCTGCTTGGCTGCCTAGTCAGTAAGATTGACAGCTACTCGAAAGACGCGGTCCGGTCAGTGTTGTCCCGAACCAGCCCCTCCATTGTCCACCTGCCCGACGAGGGGAGGAGGAATGGAACGTCAGTGCTACGTCCAGAACTCTTGGGGTGAAGAGACCGCCGGGAGCAACTAAAAAGATTCGCCAGCACATTTCAAGCGATTCTCTTAGCTGTTCGTAACTTACCTTAATCAAGGCATCCCTCAAAGCCATGCAAGACTCGGAGTTTCGTCTTGTCATCATCTACTCTGTTTCCGCTCTCGGCCTTTATCTCCTCTTTCTGTGTCTTCGATTTCGATCCTGGCTATCAAAACTGGCATCTGTCGTGCGAGTTCCTCTTCTCAGATACCTCGTCTATCCGACCATCTACGCTGAGTGGAGTTGGGCTGATATCTTGGCTTCGGCAGCTTACCTGGCGTTGAACATCCTTTGTCTCTGGTTTCAATGTCCCTCACTCTCCGATGCCGGGCGACGCGCGGGTTACCTGGCTCTCATCACCATGGTTTTCCCGTTTTCGGCATGGCATCTTGACTCGCTCACCGGTTTGCTTGGTCTTCGATGGCGCTCGGTTCGTCGTCTGCACGGCTTGACGGGCACGATGGCTTCGTTGCTACTCTTATTCCATGCAATCACTGCTCAGATATCTTCCACATCGTTCCCGATGGATACGTCTGATAATAGAGGGGCAGTCATAGTAGGCTATCCAAGAATGGAGACCTACGTTCCGAGAGACCCATTATTGATCATGTATGGCAGGCGGCGTCAGCCATCGGGGGTCTTGTCCTTTTCTCTGTCCCAACAATCAAAGATAACCTCTACGAAATTTTCATCCGCCTCCACCAAGGCATGGCAATATTGTCCATCTACGGTATTTGGGAACACTTGGCTGCGCAGTCGGTCTTTGCGCGCCTGCTGCTCTACGTATCGGTTGGCGCATCTGCTCTGTCTCTACTATTGCTATCTGGCCTGGTTATCTACCGCAACGGACTTCTATTTCATGGCTTCCCTCGGACATCAATCAGCAACTCCGGCGACGTGATCATTATTGAATTGAGACTGTCACGTCCTGTCTTCGTCGACGCCGGACAGTCTATAAGTCTGTGGATGCTCACTCCCTCGGCGAAGCTTCGATCACTGTGGCAAACCCACCCCTTTGTGGTCGCGTCGTGGTCTGCCTCGCCTGCCGACACGCTTCATTTGTTGGTCGAGCCTCGCTCGGGCTTGACCGAAAAACTCCTCCAGTTCAGTAAAATGCAGAAGGTGCAGCAGACTTGCCCTGCCCTCTTTGGTGGTCCGCACGGCATGAGCGTCCCCGTCACTGACTACGATGTTGTCCTCATGGTAGCCAGTGGTTACGGCATCGCAGCGCAGCTACCCTACTTGAAAAAGCTCATTTACGAATTCAACAGTCGTAAGGCCCGTACTCGCCGCATTCACCTGGTGTGGACGCTGGACACCATTGGTACGATGTTCTCGGCTCGGATCGTCCGCCTGACTAACACGCCTAGAACTGGCCGTTGCTATCAAGCACCTACTGGATAGTGCACTGAGAGAGGATACTCTAGATGACGGATATGTGAGTGGAGCGTCAGAGCTCACGGTGCGGCGGCTTACTCATGCTAGATCTTGAAGATTTCAATATTCGTCCGGCACATATCTCAGGGCCATGACATAAGTTCTCGAGCTACGATCGCGAAGGGCGCTCCTGATTTCAATGCGATCATTCGAGAGGAAGTCGAAGGCAAGTACATTCGAAGAGTCCAGGACAATGAGAAGGGAAGGGAGGCATGATAGTCTTGGGTAAGCCAGCTCCCCAACCTGCTCGTGCTCTTTCTCATTCACATAGCATCGGCCTCGACTGAGGTAAGGCATACTTTGCGAAAGCTTGTTAGGGGATATTTGGGAAGCAAAGTCGACATGACAGAGTTGGACTACCAACCTAGGAGATAGTGCGATCTGTTTCTCTTCCGTGCGTCTAAGCACAGCAAAATCAGGTTTTGTTTCTAGAACGCCATGGTCTTTCTTCTCATCTATATCTATTCGGATGTGCTGCAGTGGCGGCGCTTGAGGGATTTCGTCCAATTGCCGCAACATTACTCATTTCGTTGGCTTGCATCACTATACATGGTAGACACCTACACACTGGACAGTAAACGAAGCCTGGCATATGCTTGTCGTAGAGAACTGAGGGCTTATTAGCTCTGCGTCATCGAAGCTTTGTACCGCGGTTTGCTTTGGAGGACTAGTGACGATGGAATGAGGGCACTGGGCCCGAACACGATAGCGCACACAGGCCGACGTAGCAGGAAACGGACGTATACGATGACTGGCATTGTGTCAAGACATCGGTATTTTCCTCATAATACTGATATTCTTTCCCAAGGTAAACAAATAAATTATCTGAACGCTTGTTTCTTCTGTTTCAACACTATCTTGCCATGGTTGATCGAACCCACTTGGTGAGGACGAACAACGAGAATCGTGTTTGTTCCGTTCGCCGTCACCCTCTTGAAGCATGTTTTGGGAGTCAAGTAGTTGTAACTGGTATCGACCAGGCAATACTGCTTCCACACGTACTTTTCCGCTGTCCGTTGAACTTCTAACGAATCGGACGCGCTAGCGGAGACCTCGCCGCAACTGACCCACTGACCAGAGTCATCTACCCAGAAGAACTTGATGGTGATTGTCTGCTGATTCGATGAAGCGTCTCCGCCAGGACCGTTGTCCATATCCAAGGAAATTCCCTCTTGAACTCTGTCGAAATCGAAACGAGTAACTCTGCGGGGTCGTTTTGTGGGTCTAGGACTACCTTCTTCAGGACGACGGCCTGTTAAGTCCGCAAGCGATGGTGTCTCTGGCATCGAGTTTCCGGTCTCGATCGGTACCATTCTCGTGTCGTTTGAGTGCTGGTCATCAGACTCTCGCACCCTGATCACCAACTGGCCTCGCCCAGGGTCTTGCTCACTGGCAGCTTGGTCGACACTACTATTGAGCTGGTTCAGGCGGTCCTGTTGCTCCTGCACTAGCTGCCGCAGGTGGTCAAGCTTGGCCTGCTCGATTTGAGAAAGCTCATTGAGCTGATCGAGCCCCGATTGCGCCTCTGCCTGTGCCGCCGTACTCGTGTGTGCTTCAAAACCGAGAGTCGCTCTATCTGCGGGACTGACTGCGTTGATCCCCAGATCAAAATGATGTGTTAGCTGCTGGTCGGCAGCAAAGTGTGCCAGGGATAGGGGGAGGCCGAAGTACGACAAGTAAACTGATTTTCGTATGAAAAACGAAGTAACCCGTGTTTGCCCGGCGTTGAACTCTGAGAGTACACTAGGAAGAAACAGTCTCGGTTGGTCGCGGTCGTGATCGTTGCTGCGAGGAATCCCACAACGGATCGGCGGCTCCGCGCACAGTTCGCTCAGACCAGACTCAGACGCCGCCTCTGCAGCAGACAGTGGCTGTGCCGTTGCCAATATCTCCGTCACTTTTGTATGCATTTGTCCAGATCGGGAAAGCGATACTGCCCTGGCCTCCTCGCCGAGAGCAAGAGACGTTTGGCGACTTCAATATCCGGGGACGCCTTCATAATGTTGCTTATCTCGTTCGATTCGAAGCCCAGTCTGTTCGCAAGAGAAGCGAACTGGAAAAGCGTCGTCTCGTCTGCTCTCCCGCGAGCCTTTGCAAGTGTGTCCTTTTTCTTCACCTCCGTCGGCAGTTCCCGGAACTCTCGGAAGGCGGCAAGCCATAACTGCCGGCAGCCAAGGTCGAAACGGGTTGCCGCATCTCCCGGAACGGTCACATATGCCGTCGGAGACAGCTGTACTATGCACCGATCAGCCTGCTGGTGTGAGTCCAGAAACATCTCATCCAGGCGGCTCGAAACCGTAACTTTGGAGTCGACGCCTGTCAGCCGTCTCATGCAGTCGGCGGCAGCGCGAAGGAACTTTCGGTCCTCAAAGAAAGTGAAGAGCGACGGTATCAAATGTTGTCGCGAGACGTTACAGACCCGAGCTCTGATTTCTTCTCGTTGTTGCTCGGAGAAGTTTCCAAAGATGCGCCCACTGCTGAGGTCGCTCAGGAGCTCGTCGTGGTCCGCACTGAACGATCCGGGCGCTTTTCCCTGTAAGCGCTCTATGGTTGGTCGATCGATGAGCCGCATAGCCCGGGAGTCGCCGCCGCATATCTCGCTCCAGACCTTGAGAATGTGTTGCAAGTAATGTAAGTTAGGCTACCGCTGGTCAGACGTTGCATTGCCATCGATGTGAGTTGATGTTGTACCTCTTCGCACCTCATGCATATGACCTGGTGTACCACGGTGAGTCGAAATCCGCAAAAGAGCGCGGGGACAGCCAAGAGTGCGTCGAAGGCGTCGGTGTATTTCTTGTGGCGGAACAGTTGATCCAGAAGGTGTCGACGGTTCTTGGAGAGAGCGGCCAGCCGTCCCAGCCAGATCCTCTCAAAGAAAGGGTTTCCGTCGCCGTGATGTCCCTGGTATCCCCGAATCTTGCAGTAGAACTCGCCATCGTCGGGTTCCTTTTGGTACTCATACTCTTCGACAAAAAGCGTCCGCAGATCGTCGCTCAGATCTCTATAACGTCAGCGGGCTCCACCGCGGTGTCTGCCTTGCGAACGCACCGTCTAGATACAGGTCGACTGTCCAATGCTTGTCCGCCCCGTCGAACACGTCGTCGGCTGCCATGATACGATCTGACCCCTGGAGGCATTCGAGCTGTACACCAGGCGGTAGCCCGAGAACTGGGTAGGGCAACGCATCGCTCTGGAGCCGAGAGGCCGTGATCCCTGCGTTCGTCAGGGCGGCTTCCAGGTCGAATTGACTGATTGTCGCCTTTGCATGGTGTCGATGATCTTCTTGTCGGCACCCATGCTCCTCTCGGTATAACCTCTTGAGCGGTTCGGAAACGGGCCGACGAACGCGGTCCGCCGTCCTCGGCGTTGGCTTCAATGACGATATACTGATGCTGGCAGTACCGCAGAACTTGGCGCGACGCTCGTCTTCAAGTCGCCGATTGACTTGGGTGAAACTGCCTTCTACCATTGCGGCCTCTCTGTGCGTACGAAGTGGGTTCGGGAGCCAAGAGGTTGAATCTACGGGAAACCGATGGGGAGTAGAGCGAGATGACTCCCACACTTTCAGGTGGTTAGTTGATTCGTGTTGCGAACTCCAAACTCGGCTTCTGGCAGATTACCCTTGAAGGAGCTGGAAACGACGCTCATCGACTCTAGTGCATACAGTAGAAATCGAAATCGGTTTCCTTCTATGCGGGCAGTATTTGATCTGCGCACAGATGTTTGTAGATCCGTTTGCTGACAGGGTACATGACAAGGCTCTGGCGGTACCTTCTTGATGACCTCCATCGCCGATGTCAGAAATTGCTCTTACACTGTGCTCGTAATCAGATCCATGTTGCATGATACAATATCCAAAAACGGCGATGACAAGTGCAGTCTCTACAGTACGCAACATGGATCTAAAATGAGAACACAGTAGAGACGCGATTCTGACCTTGCTGTGGAGGTCATCGATGAATGTACTTGATGGGTCTCGATATGTATCCCGTCAGCAAAAGGATCCACAAATGTCTGTACGCAGAACAATTCCTATCCGCAAAGACGGAAACCAAATTCGTCTTTTACTGTATCCGATGTCACTTTTCTTCTTTTGTCTCTGTTGCTCTTTCCTTTCCACGTAACTATGTGTTTTCCGTTTTCCCCTTTCCTCTTCTTTTCAACAGAGCCCCCGACGTCAATCTCGAAACTGTTCGCCAAATGGAGCTTCTCAGGATCGTCAAAGCCAGACAAGATGGAAGCTCTGGGGCAGCCACTATTCTGATCAAAGCGGCATCGCCGTGGGCTGCCTACGAGAAAATGTACCGACAATTGCTCGGAGACGACGACATTGTTCTTGTTGCCGAGAAGAGAGGGATATCTGGCGATGTAGTACAGTAGAAATCGAAATCGGTTTCCTTTTTCATAAACAGAAACTCTTCTGCGCACAGACTTTTGTGGATCCCTTTGCTGACGGGATACATGACAGGGCCCCGACGGTACCTTCTTGATGACCTCTATAGCCGAAGTCAGAAATTGCTTTTACACTGTGTTCGTGGATTAGACCCATGTTGCATAATCCAACATCCACAAACGGCGGCGATAAGTGCAGTCTACGATTTGTGCCACTTCATTACGTCCCCTTGTCTGCATATACAGAATTGGCTGTGTCAATACGTTCGTCTGCTGATTACTACTGGATGTGTTTGAGGTCAACCTCCCAATTCTGCTTCAAACCAGATTACGCTGAAACTATAGCACCAAGATGTTTGCTTTGACGCCAAACTTCTGATTTGCACTGATCCACCACCTATTCTTGCTTCGATCACCTGGCTTAGGTCCCTATAACTATGGTTCTCCCATGGGAAAATGTCAAAGCATCTCTTCATATACTTGAGGCTGTAATCTGCAGGCTCGCCGAAAAAGGACCACCGCGGACAAGGTCTCTCGAAGCGCAGGTTCATTTTGATGCTGCTCGATCTGCAAATACATCGGCCTCAGAATCACGATAGTCCGCTGATAATCTAGCCAGGCACGATTATGTGTTAACGCAAGTAAGACATCTTCTGTTGACGGTTGCACCATGGCACCCAACATCGCTGCATCGCAGCATGAGCTGATCCGGGACATGATATCTTCCGGCGAATTCACCAACAATAGCATAGCAGAGGCCGCAGGATGTAGCGCGCGGACGGTGCGTAATATTCGAGCGAATCTTCAGTGCTTTGGGAACACAAGAGCTCCTCCCAACGGAGCCGGACGCCCGAGGACTATCACGCCGCCTATGCTGAGTGCTTTGTGCGACCGGCTGATCGAAAAGCCGAACCTCTACCAAGATGAGATGATTGTGTTCCTTTGGGGTGAATTCGAGACTCTGGTGACGGCTTCAAGCATCAGTCGTGCTTTAGCTTTAGCTGGGTGGAGCAAGAAAGTGGCCCGACGTGTTGCTCAAGAGCGAAACGCAGATCTGCGGGACTTCTATCTCCACGGGCTGTCGGCTTTCCGATCCTATCATCTAGTCTTTGTCGACGAGTCGGGGTGCGATAAGCGTGCTGGCTTCCGGCGGACTGGATGGTCCCCTTTGGGGGTAACCCCAGTTCAGGTTGCTCGATTCCATCGCGACCGACGGTACCAGGTCTTGCCTGCTTACACACAAGATGGCATCATCTACTCGCGTGTCTTTCAGGGCACTACCGATAGTGAGGTGTTCGAGAGCTTCATTGAGGAGCTTCTCCCTTTCTGTGGGAGATGGCCTGAGCCGAAGTCCGTAATCATCATGGACAATGCTTCTTTCCATCACTCCGAGCGGATTCAAGAGCTTTGTGCCAAAGCAGGTGTTGTAGTCCATTTTCTGCCACCATACTCTCCCGACCTCAATCCGATCGAAGAGAGTTTTGCAGAGCTCAAGGGTTTCATTAAGCGACACTATCAACAGCACGACGGCCTGCCTGAAGCGGACTTCGCGGGGTTTCTGGAGTGGTGTGTGAAGACGATTGGCGCTCGGAGGTCAAGCGCCAGAGGTCATTTTCGAAACGCCGGAATCTTTATTGAAGAGCCTTGAAGAGGTGAAAGAGAAAACCCATTCTAGAAGAATACCTAATGGCCTTCACGCTCATCCGTAGGTTTCAACCCACTTTCCAATATCACGGACGAATCGTCGCGCTACGCCGATCTTGACGCCCCGTTCCATAAAAAAGTCAGGCTCTTGATCTTGGTGCACCTGCTCAAGATCAAGGCCATGATCAAGGGTAACACCGTACGCCTTCCAAAACTCCCTCTTGAGCGTCTCGCTCTCCACCTGCGAGCACTGCCATTCGCAGTATGATCGCACGGCCACATCTCTCGGCCCCGCAATCTCCAAGGCCAAAACAACATTGCAGCAGACGGGAGGCGAGGCTGCGAGCGGAGTTGCAGCGCCCGCTGGGGATGTGAGCGGCGAGGAGGCTGGCATCACGTTGGTGATGTTGATCGGCGGGTAATTGCTTGCCGATGAAGAATTGGTCTTGCGTTGTCGTTCTGCGTGTTGCTGCTCCTCGGCATACAGCTGGTCGCGGATGTGTTCGGGCATGTCACCGGGAATATTAAACACACCGCCCTGCTCTACGTGTCGAACGATGGCCCTAAAATTATGAGACTTCAGCTTGTAATGCTTTTTGCCCGCGCCAACATCGATCCAGCAGTGCGGCCCAAGATTACATGGCGGCCCAGGACATCGCATCAAGGCGTAGACCCGCCGCCAGATCGACGCCTGGCCTGTAGAACTCTCTTCAGCATCGAGCTGAGCTGCTCGTTCCTGCAGTCTGTCCTGCGTGATGGAGGAGAAGCCACGCTTAGTGCCTCGCTGCACAGCAGTAGAAGACCCAGATTCCAGATAGTTAAAAGATATCTGGACCCTGAGTTCTCTCCCGGCACGGAAAAGGTGGCTCCAAGCCTTGAGCTGTCTCTCCACGACAGGCCAGTCAATATCGAGCTCGTCGAATCGCTTGACAAGGTCACGTTGGGAGCGATCTCGCACGGACACAATTACGTTGGTATCATCTATGTTGAACGACTTGTTGGATGGCAGCTTCTTTTCACTAGCTTGTCGAGCTTGCGGTACAGGGTTTCTTCCCAAAAGGCATTCGGCGCAAGGACGAGGTCTGGTTCGCTATCTTTCGACACTACTCTGTTGTTTGCTGTCAACTTCCACTCAATAGTATAATGGATACAGGTTGGCGGTTGCTCATCGTAGGTCTCGTTCTCGTCCCAATCAGCCAGCTGTAGCAAGGGAAGTTTGCCATTCAAAGCCGATGTGTGGCTTGGAGTTGGGCTTAGAGAGACTGTCTGAGCATCCTCTACGTCAATCACCACGGGGCTAGCGGTCATGCGTTGAGCGCCTCCGGCATGGCCTACATCTGGGACCGCGTCTGTCGCATCGAAGTCTGGCCAGTCATATTCGTCAAATGACATATCGAACGCCAACGCAGACGAAGGCATATGGATGAGAATACTGATTTGGGGAGGAGGTATCCTAGTTGGTGTAAAAGCATCGTCTCCACGCGATGCTGGTCCGTCTTTGGGGAGTAACCTTGAAGTTGTCAAGCCAGACGACGTTCTAGAAGCTTCCATCATTTAGCGACATGAAAGCGGTTGTAGGGCAATTGCTGTTAGTTGGGATACGCGGAAGATAGTTGTTCCTCCTTTGTCGGTGGAGTTGAGTGGTGGCTTAAGCCAATCAGTCGAGTTTATTGTTCCACTCCAATCAATCACCCCTACTCTCCAATCCCACCGCTTTCGCTGATTCCAGATGACCCCTCATATTGTGATGCCAATTGAAGTTCGAAATTTCCACATTTCCCCGCCCTGCCTTCTGCCCTCGATCGTCTGAAGACCATCATCTCAATTCTAATGAACAAGGGCCCTGCAACAAGATTGGAGCGGGCCGGACCGAAACACGCCGCCATGTGGCCATAGCCTTCAGCTCCGTTCCCACCGTTGAAAGTACTATCATAACGTCAGTGCTATCTTTCGAGCGACAACCTTGTCGTTAACGAGCCTAGATGGTCGTGGCATCTGGGGTATCTCCAATCTTGTGGTTCCTTGTCATTTGGAGGAGATCTACAATCCAAAAAGCATCGCGTGCCCGAAAACAAAGATGATGCTTTGAGTTCATTGGCAGAAGTGGTCCTGGAGGGTCATGCGACTCGCAACTCATGGAGCTGATCTCAGCCGCTATTGCACTAGAAACGGGGTTGTCGTTTCCTGAACACCCCGATACCCACACTTGGAGCAACCAGCAACCAATCACGCAAACATCAGCACTTAGTGCTTATCTCGGATGGCATTTGGTCCTGCAGGCTGCGACAATGCCATATCACGTCTGACCCCTCACGGCAAGGCTGAGGCCGTATCTCTCTGTTCGCACCATGCTGTCCTAACGGGAGCATGGGAGTTTCATGAAACGAGAATGCTCAATGACACGTTGTCTGCTACATCCTACTGCGTCCCGTAGTTTCGCATTGCTACTCTTTTGCTGGCATCCGGCACTGAAACTGACGCGATATGGCCAATTTCGTCTCCGCCCGCGACTTCACCGTCGGTTGGATCTGCGCTCTGCCCATCGAGCTAGCAGCCGCATCCGAGATGATGGACGAGGAATTCGCCGACCTACCGTCCCAGCCGGCCGAATCCAACCTCTACTCCTTCGGCCGAATCGGCGTTCACAACGTCGTGGCTGCTTGTTTGCCTGCCGGCCAAATGGGCACGAACCAAGCAGCCACGGTGGCCAGCCAAATGAAAACTAGCTTCCCGTCGCTGCGGTTCGGCGTCCTCGTCGGCATCGGCGGTGGCGTCCCGAATCTCGAAGACGACATCGATATCCGGCTCGGCGACGTTGTCATCAGCCAGCCGGCAGGGCAGCACGGCGGAGTGATCCAGTATGATTTTGGGAAAACTGGAGCCGACGGTCGCATCGCTCGCACCGGTAGCCTCAATGCGCCACACACGATCCTCCTTAACGCCTTGGCCAAGCTCCGCGCTAATGACCTTCGGCGCAAGACACAAGTTCTCAAGCATCTGTCTCAGCTCTCTAGTCAGCCAGAGTTTGCGTCGCCAGGCTCTGAGAAAGACACCCTCTACGATGCATCATCGCCGCACATCGGCACAGCTACATGCGCAAAATGCCATCCAGCAGACGTAGTGGATAGGGACGCGCGAGCAACTACGAAACCGGTCCTCTTCTTCGGCAACATCGCATCCGGGAACCAGGTGATGAAGGATGGCCAGACGCGCGACAGATACAGTCACGAGCTAGGAGGTGTCTTATGCTTTGAGATGGAGGCAGCCGGTCTAATGAATAACTTCTCTTGCATTGTCATTCGTGGCATCTGCGACTACGCAGACGCGCATAAGAACAAGCAGTGGCAACCATACGCAGCAGCGACGGCTGCAGCATACGCTAAAGAGCTGCTGAACACCATCCCACCGCTGACGTCTAGCAACCTAGACAAGCCAGAGGATTGTAAGTACAGCACGTAGAGTGTATTTAGATTGAGAACCAAGAGTCTAAAATCTGCTAGCTCATCAGAAACCCTACTTCATTGTCCCATTTGGACGAAACGAAAACTTCGTTGGCAGAGATGCGATCTTGACGCGGCTCCTGAAGCGGATACCTCCGAGTGCCAACAAAGACGCCTGTCAGAGGACTGCGATTGTAGGCCTTGGAGGAGTTGGCAAAACACAGGTCGCGATCGAAGCCGCCTACCGCGTTCGCGATGCACACCCAGGCTGCTCCGTGTTCTGGGTTCCGGCTGTAAACACCGTCATGTTTGAGAATGCATATCGTGACATCGGCCGGGCGCTCAATATCCAAGATATCGAGGATGACCAGGCAGATGTCAAAGGCTTGGTCAAGGCTACATTGGAACGTGGCAAGATTAAGAGCTGGCTTTTGATCGTCGATAACGCCGACGACACAGAGCTGCTATTTACCAGCTCCAAGCTCACGAGCTATCTCCCTTCTAGTCGGAAGGGCTCTATCCTGCTGACAACGCGAAACCATCAGGCCGCGGCAAGATTCAGTGGTAGTCTCCCTTTGCGCCTAGTAGAAATGGATACCAAGGAAGCCACTAACCTCCTACGCAAAGGCTTGGATGAGACCCAGTTTAGCGACAGTCAAAGCACGACACAGTTGCTCGAATGCCTCACCTATCTGCCTCTAGCCATACGACAGGCATCGGCTTACATGGCTTCTAACAGAACCGTGACTATATCCAAATATCTAGGATACTGCAAGGCTAGTAGCGACAAGCTGGTGAAGCTGTTGAGCAAGGACTTCGACGACCAGGATCGATACGAAGATATTCGGAACCCGGTGGCCACAACGTGGCTGATCTCCTTTGATCAAATCTCAAGAGATAACGCACTTGCGGCAAAGTACCTCAGTTTCATGTGTCATCTTGCAGAGAAAGATATCCCACGAGCTCTTCTGCCCCCTGAAAGAGCTCTTCTGCGCTCTGAGAATGACGAAACGAAGACAGACGACGAAATGAAAACACACGACGAAATGGGAACACACGACGAGTGGGAGACAGACGATGGAATGGAAACAGACGACGAAACGGATACAGACGACGAAATGAATGCTGATGAAGCAATAAGCACGCTAATAGCCTACGCCTTCATTCTGCAGCGTGATACTGCGGATAGGTTTGATATCCATCGACTGGTGCGCTTAGTGATGCGAAACTGGCTAAGGGAGCAAGAGAGGGAAGAAGAGCAAGTGACAGAGACAATTTACTGGCTTTGCGAGAGGTTTCCTTGGCCAAAGCACGACAATAGGAAAGTCTGGATGGCCTACTTGCCGCATGCGCAAGCGGCGCTTCAAGTGGAGAATTGGTGCACAAACGACGAGTTGCTATGTGACCTACTGTGCAGTATAGGGGAAAGTAACAATCTGCTTGGAAAATACGCCGAGGCAGAGCAAATACATCGACAGACACTCGAGCTGAGGGAGAAGGTGCTGGGACCAGAGAATCCCGACACACTCACCAGCATGGACAACCTAGCGGTCGTGCTCGGAAGCCAGGGAAAGTACGACGAGGCAGAGCAGATGCATCGACAGACACTCGAGCTGAGGGAGAAGGTGTTGGGACCAGAGAATCCCGACACACTCATCAGCATGAATAACCTAGCGGTCGTGCTCGAAAGCCAGGGAAAGTACGACGAGGTAGAGCAAATGCATTGGCAAGAACTGGAGCTTTGCAAGAAGGTGCTGGGACCAGAGAATCCCTCGACACTCACCAGCATGAACAACCTAGCAGGAGTGCTCCAAAGCCAGGGGAAGTACGACGAGGCAGAGCAGATGCATCGACAGACACTCGAGCTGAGGGAGAAGGTGTTGGGACCAGAGAATCCCGACACACTCATCAGCATGAACAACCTAGCACTCGTGCTCGGAAGCCAGGGAAAGTACGACGAGGTAGAGCAAATGCATCGACAGACACTCGAGCTGTATCAGAAGGTGCTGGGACCAGAGAATCCCTCTACACTCATCAGCATGAATAACCTAGCAGGAGTACTCGAAAGCCAGGGGAAGTACGACGAGGCAGAGCAGATGCATCGACAGACACTCGAGCTGAGCGAAAAGGTGCTGGGACCAGAGAATCCCGACACACTCATCAGCATGAATAACCTAGCGGTCGTGCTCGAAAGCCAGGGAAAGTACGACGAGGTAGAGCAAATGCATTGGCAAGAACTGGAGCTTTGCAAGAAGGTGCTGGGACCAGAGAATCCCTCGACACTCACCAGCATGAACAACCTAGCAGGAGTGCTCCAAAGCCAGGGGAAGTACGACGAGGCAGAGCAGATGCATCGACAGACACTCGAGCTGAGGGAGAAGGTGTTGGGACCAGAGAATCCCGACACACTCATCAGCATGAACAACCTAGCACTCGTGCTCGGAAGCCAGGGAAAGTACGACGAGGTAGAGCAAATGCATCGACAGACACTCGAGCTGTATCAGAAGGTGCTGGGACCAGAGAATCCCTCTACACTCATCAGCATGGACAACCTAGCAGTCGTGCTCAGAAGCCAGGGGAAGTACGATGAGGCAGAGCAGATAAATCGACAGACACTCGAGCTGAAGCAGAAGGTGCTGGGACCAGAGAATCCCGACACACTCACCAGCATGAACAACCTTGCACTCGTGCTCGAAAGCCAGGGGAAGTACGATGAGGCAGAGCAGATGCATCGACAGACACTCGAGCTGAGGGAGAAGGTGTTGGGACCAGAGAATCCGTCAACACTCATAACACAACGTAACCTCCAAGCTTGTTTGGACGCTTAGACAGGCTTCAGTTCCCCGTCTATCGTAGATTGATTTCACCTTATGTACAGTATCTCCCAGATCGTAGATAAATGTAAATCAGCAGGCCATCCGGAGCCATCATAGCTGACGCACTGCTGCTGACACGAAAATTAGGCATCAAATTTTATATGGTGAGCCCGTAAGCCAATTCAGGCTTGAAGCCAGTCAGAGAACTACCTCAGGAAGGAGGATATGCACTGTAACCGAAAGAGGCAAAGATGGTCTGTTTTGTGTGCATATAATCAAAGAGGCATAGCAAGGTTGCATAGGTTTATGTCTGCATTTGTTCAGATGAATGGGGCTTTTATGGTTATGCAGCAGGGGTTTAAACAAGAGGCACAGTATAAAGCGATTTCTGGCTTTGCATGCGGAGGCCATCAGGGAATGTACCGCCTGAATGTCATCAAGTACCCCATCAGCGGGGGGGTCCACAAATGTCTGTGCGCAGAAGAATTTCCGTCCAAGAATATGGAAACCAATTTCGATTTCTACTGTAGACATTCGCCACTTTCCAGAGTTATCTGCACAGCAAACGAAGATGCTCCAGTCGATTCAGCACCCGAACATCGTCACGGTCCATGAAATTTATAGCAACAAGGCGAATCATCACGTCGTCTACGAACATATGCCGCGGTCGCTGCAAGAGGCCGTTGGGAATCCGTATCTCAATCGCCAACGTCTGGCAGCAATCATAGGGCAGGTTGTGCAATCCTTCCCATGAAAACATGACAATTCACGTTTTCTCACAGGTAGACAGGTAGTCGAGGCGCTGGTTCACCTCGAGAAAATGGGACTGCAGCACGACCGTCTCAGCTGCTCGTGTGTTTTACTCCATCCTAGCGGAAGGGTGAAGCTGAGTAATGCCTAGTCTCTAGTCCGTTGGCGAATCTGGCGCTAATCAGGGCATCTAGGCGGCCAGGAAGATTGTCGACCGCTCAGCCGTAGGAAAGACTTGGTCGACCTAGGCTACACGATGATGGAACTGATGCAAGGATATGTGAAGGAGGGCGCCAACCTGGGGCTGGACGACCCGGAGCAGTGGGACCCGGAAGTTGTAAGCTTCCTCTCAGCGACAACAACCGCATCATCTGCGGCCGAATTGAGCGAGGTTAGCCTAACATGATGCCACACCAAGCCAGTCGCTAACGTGTATCTAGCATCCTTTCCTACGTTCGTGGCGGAAAGAAAAGTTGAAAGGATTGGTTTCTCTGGTTATGACATGGACTCGGCAAGACTATGAATATCTCGGGTGGCAGGAAAGAACGTAGCAGAAAGCAATACATTGCGTGTCTCTCGCTGGGCCCATTTCCTGACCGCTGCATTGATTGAGGACAGTGGGCGGATGTGAAATACAACTGCCGCTGCACAGTGAACGCTGTTTCGAGACGCAGTGGTGACGAACCCTGGCGGCAGCGATTCGGACATGGGTCTCTCCATACAGGTCACTCGTAGAACCTGCTCAAGAGGACTCCCGCGTGTGCGTCTTTGCTTGCGCAGAAATCCGCGCATGCCTTTCTGCGCTTGAGCGCGTTTCTGCGCAAGCGGCTCTGCTTGAGCATGTTCATGCGTGGGCGACTCTGCTTGGGCGTGTTCATGCGTGGGCGGCTCTGCTTGAGCGCAATCCTGCGCTGGCAGCTTTGCTTCGGCGGCATTTCTGCCTGAGCAAGCATGCCGAAGCATTCTTCTGCGTATGCAGCTAATGTACCTGCCAAATTCATCAGGGCCATGCCTGCTTGGGTTGAGGCAGCTACAGCGCAAGCTCCCCATCCGACCCATGTTCAGGGCAGAAATCCATCGCGATGAAGGGTAATGAGCATTCAGCTATTCCGTGCGCATGTGAGATAGTGTACAATTCAAGTGAGTTGCTAGCTAGCCTACACTATGTATCTAGCTTTAACTACCCAATGCATGTTTTGCTTTTTCGGGTGGGCCCCTGGATCTCCTGTGTGTTCTGAGGGAGATACAAGACGTCAGATCACTCCGGCATATGGCGCAGGCCATCCAACAAATACTGGTACACTCCGCACAAAACGCATGAGACGAGAAGCCACGCCTGTCACTGATGTTGTAGCTATCGACGTTGCCGACCATTGGCCTCCGTGAACCGTGTAAAGGTTCAAAATGGTGGACAGAAATTCAATCAGCGAGTCTGCCAGCGTGGGTCTGCCGCTTCGTCAGTGAAGGAACTGGCAAAATCCAGCCAAAGGCGGCCAATGTGACGCGAACGTAGATGAGAACACGATGTAGCCCGCCAGCAAGAGCCACGAGAAGATCTTTGCCAGAAGAGACCACCACCAGTCTATCTCCTTGTCGTTCTCCAACACCATCTGATCATATCTAGACACGGCATAGTTCTCGAACTGCTCGTTATTGTCGTTCTTGGGAGGGAAGTAGTCGCAGTCCTTCATGGTCACCAACTACAACGTACGATTACCTGAGAGGATGAAGGAACAAACCACAACACCGTCCAGACGAATGATAGAAGACCTGAGCAGGAGCCGAAAGCAGCCCAAAAAACAACACGCCGGAGTTCACGTACTTCAGAAACGTGAGCGAAGAATCCCGTGACCTCGAAGAGGCTCTGGCCCCTTGCACCAGGGAGGCTGGTAGAATTGTGCATTCTCATATCCGAAACTGGCTGAAGCATTCTGGCAGGGTAGATACAGATCAGACCGTTGAAACGCCTTGCCTTGGCAGCCTAGAATGCGGTACAATTGGTCAGGTAGTCCGCTCTTCTCTGCTCCGTGTACGACCGAGATTTTCTGAGCAGCTCTTCCAGCTGATCGATCAGATCCACAAGCTCACGTACGAAGCCGGCAATGACTTCCCGTAGCTGCCACATCGCCCTGAGCTCGCGATAGAGTGCCATAGCCTCCTGCCGCAAGACGTCGATGACCATGTCCTGCTGCTCTTCAGCCTGCTTTGTAAGCCTTAAAAGCAGGTCATCAAGCTCGAAGGTGTCGGAGTATACGCTTGATGTGCGGCGAGGTTCCATCTTGGCTGCAGCATCCTTCCGATCTGGTCATGATCTGTTTAAGTACTTCGGAGGCGTCTACTTTCAGCTCCTTGGCCGCCTGCATTAAGTAGGGTCAGTCGCCAGACTCGTAGATCTCGAGGGGCTTGGTTCACTCGCGAACACCCGCCGGTTGCTGTGCTGGCTAAAAGTGCAAATGCATCGCTCTTCGCGTTATTCTTCTCAACGCCGGCTACCATCGCCTGTTCAAACCGTCGTCGCTCATAACCAGCCAGCTATTTTCGACCAACGGGCCAACATAACACCAGACGCGGACCGATTCAAACTGTTCTGTACTCGCCCTCCCTCTCCGCGACTTGCTGCCGGGCTGATTGAGCATGTGCTCATGAGAGTCCTACCCATCAACAGCGACATATGGAATTTCCCCTCAGATTTGGCAGTTTTCCTACGCCACCTGCTGTTATGGGCTGATATCAGTGGAGCAGTACTCTGTGGCAGTCTGATTTACTTAGAGCGGGGTCTTTGGCGACCAGAAAAGTCTCTCATGACGGAGGCTCATCGGCATTCGCGCGTCTTGGCGGCGATTATCCTTGCTCGGAAATACTTAGAAGATGTCACATATAAAACGTCGTTCTGGGCCGTCCTCGCGGCCGAAGCATGCTCATTTCATTTCACAGACTATGATATCAATGCGGCGGAGAGTAGACTTTTAGGGGATTAGCTTGGGACTTGAGTATAGACAGTCAGGAGATGCACAGAATGATAAAGCTGGCCAGTGGTTCAGATACTGCGCCGGGGCTTTTGTGTCACAGGCCTATCTCTTTCCAATCCTAGGAACAGGAGCAGCATCGTGTGACTTGGCCGACCTGATCAAGTCGGAACGCAGAAACAATTTTTACCACGGTCTTTCGCTCCATCCATGACTCCTACTGGCGTTTGACTGTTCTATTGTAAATTCCGCTAGCTGAATACGTACTGTACAGTATTGATCATGAGTCACTTCCTCTCTCGCAAACATTCACAATCTTTGAGAAGCCGAAAGTTGCTGTGATGGGCCTCCGCAAACCTCTGGTACGGCTGTAGCGGTTGGTTTGCAACCCAAAATGTGGGGTCGGGATGGCGTACGACAGTGCGAGGGGCAGTGTGGAATCAAGAGCTACTTCAAAGTATCCATCACCGGCTTTAACAGCAGTCACTCTTGCACTTCTGATCGTGGTCGCATGTACACAGTGAGAAACTTTGGCCCAGCCTGTGTGGGTCAAGTCCTAAAAGATGAGGTGTGTTGCCAAGGGAAGCAACATATGATCAATAATTACTAAACCGTACTGCTTTTCTCATTCAGCATCCACAGGCCAAACTGTAGATGCCCAAAGTATGCACCTAGGACGAAAGGTTGCCATCAAAACGCCCGATCGACGTTGCAACTACGACAGGTGTGGGACCTGCAATATTGTCGTCGAAGGAGAAGACGAAACAACCATACACTCAAGCATGTTGAATGATGAGCTGGAAGACAATTCCCTCGGAAAGCAACAGTCGTGGCTATCTCTCGTGGCGTAAGTATGCTCTTTGCTTACGATACCTTGTCACCGCGAGCAGTCAGATTTTGATGCGCCAGAGTTCAGAAAGACAGCGTAATCTTTGGGAGTCGGCCTCGGCTGTAACTAGGAAGGTCGTCATTTCTCGGTGCAGAGTTAACCCCTGTTTAAAGGGTAGAAAGCGGCGTAACAATTCTCAATGCTACAGTACAGTCATAGTTGCGTTGGTGGTCAAAAAAGAAGTGGATGGGAACGAAACATTACTGCTCCAGGGTACTAGCGCCAGATGTCAGCGCCAGATGTCAGCGCCACATCTGGTCGTAGATAAAGGTGGATCCACTTGGAAAGGTGGGGGCGGGGGGGGGTCACACCAGAAGATGCGCCGCCGGATGGTCCCGCCAGACACTGGCGCCAGATCGGGCCGCACCCAGGAAAAGCACAGGTCCCTCGCACAAGCCCTACACCCCGGGCCGGGACCCGCCTGCTGAGCCTCCTCCGTCTCCTGCATTCTTCGTCAACTTCTTGCCTTTGCTCTCCATCTGACAGTCTAGATCCAGCACCCCGGTCGCTCCACAGTTTCGTCGTCCAATCCAGACCTGGTCTAGATCCCGCCTGCCAAAAGCCCACCGCGGCCGTTTGCTCATCTGGAGCCCGCAAGTTTGATGTTTGCCCTCAAACCCCCGCCACAACGCTCACCCAGCGATTGTTCGAGATGCAAGAATGTTTGTTTTCCAAAGGCGTACAGTGGGACTCTGATGTCATTGCACAACGAGCTGGCTTGACTCTTCTGATGCTGCTGACTCTGAGCAGAGGAAAGGAGGTTGATGAAAGTATAAGTAGGGAGGTCTTTTCTCACTTGGATTCGGGAGTTTTCTTGGTGGGCTGGGCTTCCAGCCCCGCCCCATCGCTGAGATGCCGTTGACCCTGCGTTGACGCTGCCATATAGCGGTGCCGTTGATGAATTTCCAACGAGGCCGGGCAACGGCTTCTACATTTCCTTATTTTCCGTCGAATGAACATTCTCGACGAGGCCGAGCAACGGCTTCTGCATTTTCCGTCGAATGAACATTCTCGACGAGGCCGGGCAACGGCTTCTGCATTTCCTTTGTTTTCCGTTGATGACCATTCCAACGATGCCGCCGAGATGCTTTTCCTCGAGCGATGTGGGCGGCGAAATTCGGACTCTGCAACCTCCTCGTGGTGCCGCCTGGGAACCTATCCTTTTCAGTGATAGAGCCAGTGCAGAGACGTGACAGCGTATGACAGCGTGTGACAGCGCGTGAGTGCCTGGGACGGCGGATGTCACCCCCTGGCTGTTAGGTAATTAGTTGGTCAGGCTCTGGCAGCTTGTGGATCGTTCTTGTAATTAGAAACAGGACAACGTTCGCTGTCTTCAATATACGGTTGTGCCTTCGGAGCTCCCATGTTCAGTTTCCATCCACAATGATACCGTCTCGTCGTGATGGCCACTGCTACAGATTCTCGTGTGATGTGTGAAAAGCCCCTTTGAGGCTACTCTCGCATATGTGCAGCCCTACAGCGCCAACAACAGTAAGGAGCCTCTGCTGTGGACGACTGAGGGTGCGTGTCGTCAGTCAGGTAGTGGCTTGTGAGTGTTGCATCAAGCTTGCATCGAGACACTCGCGCAGTCATAGTAAAATCCAGATTTACCACGTGTCAGACACTAGCCAGACTGGCACAGCAGCCTCGGGGCGTTGGAAAGGGGCTGAGGGTAATGCAATGTTACCAAAGGCATACAGCACAGCACGCCAGTTCATCCCTTCTTCCCTCGTGGTGCTGGTGGGAACCGGCCGTTTACGCCACGTTTTGTAGCTTGACGGACATACAAGGGCTTTGAAATGCCTCTGGAAATGTCTTTGAGCGGCAAAAATGGTTCGATCAGGGATTACAAACGTGGCAGTCGGTACGAGCCTCTTGAGGTCGGGCGGGCGTTATTCTTGGCGGGTGGACCTAACGGAGCTGTGAAGCAAACCCAGACGTTGCGAGCTAGAAACTGATTTTGGTTGCAGTTGTATCGTGCTTGCGTTGCACGCTTGTGTGGTGCGCCCAGAAATGCAAAACTGGAGCCAGCGGCGTGGCAATCCGTTGCGGCTGTTGGCTGCTTTTGTTGCTCAGTGCAGTTCCAAGTAGAAAGCATATTTGGGCTGAGCCGCAGGCTTGACCAGCTGGCAACTTCGGTGCCCAGAGACATTTCTCTTATTGGCACTCTTCCCTCAGTCGGTTCTGGCCGCCACCGCAAGTGTGTAGCAGGTCCAGACACGAATCCTTGTACACGAAGCCTCGTACATGAACCCACGTGCCAGAATGGTGTTGGGTTACAGTATCGCGAGTCATGACGGGCCCGTCTTCTGGGATTTGGCGCGCAGGAACCATGTGTTACTGTATCTTTCTTGTTCTTTAGCTTGGCAGCCAGGCTGGGTTGTCTATCATCATCTCGTCGGGAAAGTACTTCGATGATCGCTACCCGCAGTCAACGGCGTCGTTTTGCGGCACATATCGAAAGAAGGCTTTGCCCCCATAGCCCCCACCCTATTCCTCTATCTAGGCGGTACGATGCCTTGTGTCTCTCCCGTATAGCCCGTCGAAGTTGTGTTATCGTTGATCACCAACGCAATCGTAACTGTACTGTACGATCTGCATTCAATGACAGTATGCTACCGTAGAAGTGCTGGTAAGCCTGTTGCCGCCTCCCGCGGCAGATCCCGCAGCGAATCCCCAACGAATCCCCAACGAAGCTCAACTTTCGTCGGATGGCGTAGCTGCACGATATTGCCCATTTCCAGAAGCCGCGCCCGATATTCCAATCGGACAGTCGTGTGCTCCATGTATCAACGTGAAATGATAGGAGACCTCCACTGAACTCTACTGGCCATCTGAATGAAACCTGCACCGATGCGTCCAGTGGCTTCTTGAATCCTCTAATAAGACATGGTACTTAAACCATCTTGCCCGCACGGCCTATGGCATGATCTGTCGTGACATCGCACGCGCACACCATTTGCCGTTGCAACTTCCTGGCCAACGGGTATGGAATATCTCGGGCTGGTTTTCCATGCCCCGTCGTTCGAACGAACCCTGACAAGGTGACTCTGTGCCAGTGACTGGGAGAAACGGGGTAAATTGGGCTTGTTTGTTGCTAAATTTCCCTTGTGGATATATGCCCTGATGCGCATCACGTACTCGATGTCTGGCTGACTGTCTTGTGACATGTAGTCTCCAACTTGCAAGTAAGGTGTGCAAGACATGCACCCGACTGGTGTTGACCGACTGCATGGATATGAAGGCTTCGGTGCACTCGACCCCCGCCACCAGCTCTTCGCAGGTGTGCAGCCGGCAGATCTTTCTCACGCAGACACAGAAGCTCGAGTGAGTTTTCCACGACGCCGCCTGAGGGCCATGCGACAAGTTCATCGACCACCGCGGACATAGCCAGTTCGATATTCCCACGGGATACAGCAGCTA